AAGTAAAATTATCATCAGCACGAGGACGACGCCTTTCGCACGTCGGCTTGGCCCGCTACTACGCACAGGCTCCATCTTATGGCCACCTTCCCTTCTGATCCACCCGTATACTTGTTAGCATATATTTCTGCCGGATATGGTTTCCAGGAACTTCCCCCTCTCTCACCTTTCGCGTCTTTCTCCCTGCTCTCTTCCAATCATGGCTGCCTTCTCACCCTGACGGCCACCCACCTCCCAATCACGCTTGGGTCGAGAGCTCGGCACCATCGGATTTGAAATCCCCCCTGTCCCTTAAAGGATCCATTCACTCGGGTTCATGAATCTGTGTGATTTGACATGTTGCTTCCATTTCCACTCTCTCGCCATCTCCGCCCCGTGGGTTACTTGCTGCATGCAACTCGCCTCTTTCATCACGCGACGGGGTCTTAGTCTCTTTCTGGCCTCTCTAACTCTATGTATGCATGGTCCCCGACCCATGGCATCTAACGCCGCCACTAACGGACTTGAAGTAACAAGCAGCCCGCAAGACCAAAGCTTCCTCCGAACTAGGTTCCCAAGGTGGCCAATTTGTCTGACACACCCGATTTTAGTCCAACCTGACAGAAAGAGATGGCAATTTGTCACTGCTCACCGCCGTGTCCGCCGCAGTTTAGAAGCAGTCAGACCGGATCCAGTTTTCCTCTCTGCAGAGCGGCGGGCCTTTCGCTAAAAAGTAAGGAACAAGCCGTCGACAAGCACGAGAACTCGTCTCCCCCATAATCAAAAGCTTGACCTTGATTGATGCGTTCTTCTTTTCCAGGCCTGCTCCATACTGAGTCCTGGACCAAGCAATCTCGGAACTCTTCAAGCCTCGGTTGTATCCACCCACGAATACACCTGCTTGGGATATTTTTCCTCTGCCGAGCATCAGACCACTGTAGCGTAGTTGAGAGCCAAGGAGAGCCAGGCAACAACTTCTCTTGGCAATCAGGACATGCCCAAAGCCATATCAGATGGGTTGCTGCTCGACAGACCAGACAGCCCATGGCAAGACGTCTTCGGGACGCTGTACGGAGTAGACGGGACCCATCATCGCGCTCAGGCAAAACTAAAAGGTACTCGGTACAAACTCAAACTCCTGCAGTGGGCAAACTCCAAATCACCTTGAACTTTGAGCCACCCCGGAAGTACTGGGTAACATCCGCTCAGCTCCCTTTGTCGGAATACTTTCGCGGTCGTTCAGTGTCTTTCGCTGTGGTGTGATCAAGCAACCACATCAACACCCCATGTGCTTGCTCTCTGAGCACGGCCCGCGGACCATGGCCAAAGCAAAAACAAAAAAAGCCTTTTTACAAGTACAAGCAGAAGGCGAACACGATGGACAGCTTCAAAAGTATTGGAATTAAGTCTATTGCCCCTCGAAATTGCCACTCACTCCAAACCCGCAGGACCAGATCTCGTCTCTAAGAGCCTAGTTCTCTTCCGCTAGATCTATCTGACATTCGTGACGTCGTCAAGCTTGAATCCAAACAACAACTCAACCGTATTGCTCCCTTTTGCATGAACGCTTCCGCAAACCCGATGGTAGGTCCCCTTACAATACCTCCCTCAAACGCCCAAATCGGTTCCGAACCATTGGGGGGAAAATAGAGTCCAACTCTGCCTCTCTGAGCAAGAGCAAAGCGCTTTAGCATCTGCATGGGCTCTGTGACGAGCACACTCACGACCATTCCATGAACGCCCGCACTGTGCAGCCATCGACCTTACCATGGATCCTGGTTTCCCGTCACAATCCGATTGCCCAACGACATTCTCATTCCTACGAATGGCCTTGCTGCCCTTTTCGGCGTCGCATGTCTTTCGTGTGATGTCTCAATTCGCGTCCCGACAGATTCATATTGTCATCTCTTGACACTCGCTTTTCTGATCGGTTCCACTCCCTGCATCGCACCCAGCCTCGTTCGATCCACACTCACTTTCGGCGCTCTCCCGCGCACAGGAGGATGACCAGTCCCAGTCGTGTCCCACTCTTGAATCCGGCGCTGCATGTCTGGATCGGTGTCGTCTCCGATAAATGTCCAGGACTCCTCGATATCGCCGCCTTCATCGAGGAGATCAATTGCTGTGAGGCCAGCTGCTCCCCCAGCCGCGGCGGCGACGCCTTGTTGTTGGATCGCGGCGCGGGCTTTCACCAGCGATCTTGCGTATTCGAGGTCGCGGTAGATTGCTCGGATGGCGGTTTGGACGCCGTTCTCCTGCCCAATACCGTTAGCACCGCTCATTCTCAGGTTCTCCTTTCCCCAAGACCAGATTTGGCACACTAAAGGAAGAACGAGATCTTACCTTCCGGATCTGCTCCCCCAACAACTTCGCCTTCAAAATCATCCGCTCGCTGTGCGTCGCCTCCCAAAGCGCTCTCGAGAACAAACTCACGTTGACCTTCTTCAAGCAAATACCCACACCGAGATCCTCCACCCTCGATCCGAAGAAGAATTGATCCCCGAAAAACGGCTTCACCACCGTTGGCAGTCCCGCTCGGAGACTTGCGCCAGTGGTGCCGGCGCCGCCGTGATGGCACGCCGCGTCGATTTGGCGGAACAGCCAGTCGTGTGGCGCGGACTTTATCTGGAAGATGTCTGGGGGCAAAGGAACTTCTGTCTTGACAGCTTGCGGGTCGCCAAGGCGGTCGGACCAGCCTTTGGAAAGGATGCAGCGCACATCGGCTTTGAGGACCGAGTCCACGACGGTTTTCGTGAGTGCTGCGGGATCCGAGACGACGATGCTTCCGAACCCAATGTACACAAGCTTCTTCTTGTCGTCTCTGGCCTTCTTGATGAAATCCGTCAGTTCGGTAGGTGGCGTCCAGTCAGAGGCCTCGTCAAGAAACCAATACCCTGTCACCCTGACCCAGTCGCTATAATCCAACGGCGGGGCCACCACATGCGGGCTGAAATTGTACAAAAACGGCACCTTGTTGGGCTGCATCTTGTCGAGATTGGTGCTTCTCAGACCCAATTCTTTCTTGCGCCACCGATTCACTTGCCCCGCAATGGCCTTCCAGAAGACATTGTCGAACATGACATACGAGTAGTAGTTGTATGCTCCCCCGATCTTGTGTTCCGGAACGGCAAAGGCGTGAGGGTATGCACGCGTGCGTGTCCAGGGCATGGTAAATGCGCGAAAGTAAGGGATGCCTAGGGCTTCGGCGATGTGGATACCCGCCATAGCAGAGGGGGATTCTACCAGAAGATCCGAGTCTTGACATGCGGCCCAGGCTGAGGTAAGAAGTTCATCGATCCATGTGCGGAACTTCGCAGAGGCTTCTCGTAGAAAGGAGTACGTAAACATGCCGTTCTCGACGCAGATGCGCATCAACTCGGCCGGGTCACCATCCACAGGGCGGAAATCAATCCCATGCTTCTGAATCCAGGGACCAAATTCAGCATGCGTAGCAATTCGCGGGCGGTGGCCTTCTGCTAGTAGACCCTTGCACAACGCAATGTAAGGCTGCACGTCGCCTCTTGAGCCAATTGTGAGACAAGTGATGCGGAGTGGAGCGCTAGGTTTGGAGAGGTTGATGATTGAAGCGCGAGGGTCATCAAATAACACCGGTCCCAAAGGTTCTTCATCCTTATGGCTGTAAATTGCCTCGGCGGTATCGGGCAACACCAGAACATGGTCGCCCGTGGTAGAAGTTCGACGGGCTTCTTGAAGTTTACGGTGTTCTTCTTTGGCAATTTCTGCGCCATCCTCATCTGCTTTGGCAAGGACGCCCGACCCTGCCATATAGCGAGCTGTTTCCAGGCTGTGCAGCAGCGTCACTGTGCAATCGTCGCGATGTTCGGCCGAGCTGAATTCGAAGAATAATTCCTCATGACCACGGATCACCAAGACTAGGCCGTGATAGCCAAACCGGAATCCCTTCTCCTTGTCCACGTTCTCAATATCTCTCAAGGGTAAGACCAGCTTGGTCCGCGTCCCAGGGAGAAGACTTCGAAAGCAGAATTTTCGATTGCTGATGTATATCTTGCCGTACAAGGGAAGCACGCGATGGAGGAAGCCAAAATAAGTTGCTTGTAGTTTCTCGGTAGCAGGCAGCGCAAAATGAGCACGAAAGCGATCGCCATGGCCAACGTTGGCTTCCTCATCTTCCGGATCGATCCCTCTGTCATCGGGCACGACGCCCTCATTTTCTCCGTAATGTTTCCTACTCCCTGCCCACATGCCCGACACCTTTTCTAGATACGACATGGATTCTGTGGCTAGAAGCTTTCTCATTGAACTAGACCGATTCTTGAGATAGTCCGCAAAGGCCCCAGCCCGTTGCAGTGGGTAGGATCCGGCCTTGACCAGATCCTGTAGTGTCGGCGAAGAACTGTTCCTAACATAATTTTTGCTAGCTTCCAGTTCTGATGAGAAGAGGACTTCATTTTGCACTGTCGCTCGGCGGTGGTCTTTCTGCGGCTCATGTGCGCCTCGGATCGGGATGGGAAACGTATCTCCTCGTTGTGGAGAGCTAGACAGGATTGTTCCCCCATCCGATGACTTCCTTGTAGGCTCCGTGGAAAGGGAAGTCAACGTTTCCATTCGATGAATGGCTGGCTGATGGAAAACATCGCTTCTGGTTAGGATTTGGCTGGCAGACATTTGTGCTTCTGCTCGTGGTGATAGAGGTGCGGTAGACGAATCTGTTTCTTTGTCGATAGACTGAACATATGAATCTTCAGAGTCGTGATGTCTCGCGAGCGGCGACCGGGTTGTTCGTTTTGACATATTCACCTCGAGACGACTCGTACTTCCGCTTCTACGACCTCGCTCAAAGCTGGCTCGGCCGTATTCTCCTGCAAACTCGTTGCTAGAACGAGAAGGGCTATTGCCGCGGGGAAACTCTCCGCTCATTCTCGGAGACATCCTGCCATCATTTCGGATGGAGAACGGCAGCAGAGTCGCTCTAACACTGTCTTTGAGAGGTGGACTCGACTGAGCTCTCGGACTACCTGCGACAATGTCCGAAGAATGTCGAATAGGCGTTGGTCTGGACCTGGGACTGGAAAACGGCTCGACCTTCCCTGCAGGCGAGAGAAGGTCCTCCGACCCCCTCCTAGCTGGAGCTTCGGTGATCAAGCTTCCGAGAACGTTGAGTGCATCTTGGCCAAAGCTGAAAAAGGAGAAGAAGTACTAGAAGAGTCAGTGCTGCCAAAGAAGGGCCGGCCGGGTAAGTGGTCTTACTTCGTCGATCGCATAAGAGTCCTCGCTTTCAATCACTCTAATCTTGACCGTCTCAGCGAATTCGACAACCGGACTCTCCTCGAAGTCAATAATGTTCTCCACTGGTAAAGAGATCTTAACGCTGTCTCCGTCGTTGTGAGAGCGGAATATTGTCTTTTGCAGAGACTGAACCCATTCCTTGGCGCTCGAGGCACTGTCTGCTCGAAAGTGGTACGTGCGGTGGTCTGTCGTGACAGAGAAGTCCTTACAGTCCTTGGATTTACCCTTCTCCTTGTCCGTAGAGAGAGTAGCAGATATGCCGTACCTGAGGTCGATGTTGCCAGAAGGGAAATAGAGGTTTGAGGCGTCGGAGTAGTAGGATAACACATCACCCTTGAGAGAAAACCAGTATCTCTTGTACTTGGAGGTGGTCCTTCCCTTCTTTGAGAGGTAGCCGGTTTTAGCGACGGTATGTGATTTCTTGGGCAAATACGCGTAGAAGCAAATGTGTAGCTTGGTGATGTAGAGATAGCCCTGTAGGAGCACGCTCTGCAACAGCCAGCATGGATATTCTGCCACCACGGACTCGGGTTGTTCAAATCCAAAGATTTCCATCAACCGCGTTGCAAGGAGCGTCTGTGGCGTCGACTCGCCTCTGCTTCTTGACCTCAGGGATGTAGGAGATTCCAGAATCTGGTCTTGGCCTTCTGCACTCTCTTGAAACTGGGCCTCGGCGGTTATCAACCGACTCAGAACTGGCGCGTCTCGTGGATTGCTTCTTGAAGACTCTGAGGTCACGTCGCTCTCAGGGCTCGGGTCTTGTCGAGGCGTGTCCTCTTTCTTGCGCATCGATCTCCCCGTGAGACGGGGCAAAGATTGAACCAACCGCTGAGTTGAAAGACGCTTGATTTTCTTCTCACTCACGCCCTTCGCGTCCTTTGTTGTCGCAAATTGTGCCTCTTTCAACCCCGTTCCTGGAGCAAGCGGGAGTGATGCATTGTCGGCGGCCGTCTCTTCTTGTTCCTCGGGGATCTCGTCTTCACTATCGCTGGACTCGTCAAACCTCGTGTTGAAGTCGGTTCGCGACCCGGCGGCCGCAATCATAGAAAAGATGGATTGATTCATGTACTGGGCGGGCATGTTTGAGCCCCGGTTGGGGGCGGTCACGTCTTCTTGAGCATCGTCTCCCAGGCGCAGGCGAGACGGGATGTGTGATGAAGGGAGGCGATTCAGGTTGGAGTGTCGGATGTGCAGTTTGCGGAGGCCGCCCTTCTTGGAGGGGGGAGATTCGAGGTTCGACATGTTGTCGTTTGTGGATCTGGCTTGCCGGTCAAGGTGACAAACGACTGAATTCCTCGATGTGCGGCAGAAATGCCCTTCTCAAAGTCTCGACAGTGACGCCGCGTGAGGCATTTGGGCAAACGCACTAAAGTCAGCCTCCCCTTTGAGAGACCAAGTGCTGGAGGTCACAAGTTCAACGGCACAACGCGGTCTCTCACCTGACAGCGCGGTAGGATTGTGGAAAGGGAGCAGCCCGATAGCCAGGACGGACGCGATGCACCGAGGACATTATGAAAGCATTTCCACAGCACCGAGATACCGATGCAGAAAGAAACAATCTGGAGGGTCGCGTTATAGCTGACAGGACTTCCTGTGCCGGTCAACAGCGGAAAATGGGAATGGGAGTGGGAAGACTGCGGGAAGTGAATTGGTTCAAGATACTACTAAGGCAAGTATCTGTGTGACCGATGAGCCTCGAGACTGCGTATCCGCTAGTAAGTCAGGGTCTGTGTTGGCGAGCCAATCAGAATGCGGCCAACCGTTTGCTGACAACGAGGCCACTGGCAGCATTAGGCGAGTTTCGGCTCAACATTCCAGGCACAACAGGCACCACGACGAAGAGAAGCATCTACCAAGTAAACAGTGAGATGCGCGAGCGGGATATCACACACGGGGCGCCAGACTCGAGGAGGGAGGTTCTGGAAACGCATTAGTTGTACTGTGGACGATGACCATGGCATGTGCCCCTGGGGTTGCCAGCCTTGTTCATTAAATCTACTTTTCAGCTGTTCTTCAGCCTTGTCTATGTTGATAGTCCGTCTAGTCAACACGAGCCTTTTCTTCGTGTTTGTATCCACCCAATCCATGAACACACCTAGGAGGTCTCGAGCATTTTGGCATTATTCCGAGCACTAGCAGCCGCGGTAACAGACACTGCAAAATGGATTAGTCCATAGCCATATGAAATGGACTCTTACAGAGACCAAGGGACTTACATCCTGCGGGGGAATCGTCCCACGGCATATACATTTCGACCAACTGCAGATAGGGCGCTTTCGAGAAGTTTCCGTCGTGGAACAAAGCATGAATATCGGCCTTGGTTTTGACTTGGTAAGTTTTGTAGTTGCCCTCATGCGCCCCAAAGGACGGGACTAGATCCTTGTAGTTCCAGTTTTGTATATCATTGTAGGCCGCTTTCATACCGTGGATGAAGCGTTCGATGGTGTAGCCATTGTTGCAGATGATGAAAATTATGGGGTTGAGGTTGTGTCGGATCATCGTGCTCACTTCCTGGCAAGTGAGTTGGAAGCTGCCATCGCCGGTGAAGAGAATTGTACGACGATTGCCATCTAGCTCTTTGGCAGCCAGTGCTACACCCTGGCACGCGCCAGTCGCGTAGCCAATGCTGCCCCAAAGGATCTGACTGATATTGATGACATTTTTTGGGAATCGAGTTTCGAATATTCCATAGTTGGACGTTCCCGTCTCAGTGAGCACGATGTCACCATCCCGCAGCCACTGTCCCAGTCGTGGCCAAAACCAACGGTGAGTGATGGTAGGGTCGTTGGGATTTTCATCTTCGGGGATGGGTCTCTGATGGAGCGTAGGTCCAGGCTCAATGTTCAGTTTGGGCAGTCTGTCGATGATTTTGCGAAGGACACCTTTCATGCCGATGCCGGGGTATTCCGAATATCGGACGCGCGTGTATGTACTGTGGAAGTCAATTGTCTTCAGCTGCGAGGTTCTATAGGAGAATCCAGCTGTGTTGAAATCGGACTTAACACTACCAATAGTGAGAAGCAAATCGGCGCTTTCGACACGCTCCTGGACTCCAGGATTAGAGGCATCGCCCGCATAGATACCGCCAAAGTTTGGTAAGGTTTCATCGACAGCCCCTTTGCCCATAGGCGCCACGAACGCTGGGAGACCCGATTTGACGATGAGCTCGCGGGTCTCAGGCAGTACACCGTGACGAATGGCGCAGCTGTCAACCAGAATGACGGGGTTCTTGGCAGCCTCCAGATACTTCAGGACCACTTCGACCACATACTCTTCCTTTTCCGGATCATTCGGGTAGGGACTCAGGTCCAACTTGGTCTTTAGTCTTTGACCCTCGACCTTCCGTTTGACCATATCTGTGGGGAGGGTCAGGTAAACGGGCCTGCTTCGAAGGTAGCATTCGCGAAGTGCATGGTCGATCTGTGAAGCGATATCACGAGGGTCTATCAATTTGGCGACCTCGACCGCCAGATGGCCCGCCATTTCGGCGAAAACATTGAAGTTGCCATTGCCGAGGGTATGATGCAGGAGCATGCCATTCTTTTGAGAGATGGTGCTCGGCGTCCCGACGATATGCACCACAGGGACGAACTCGGCAAAGCTGGAATGAACAGTCAGTCGACATCGGGCGCACCACACGGCTCACGTGACTTACCTCCCAGCAGTTGCATTGAGGAGAGATAGCTCGCCCACTCCAAAAGTGGTGATGATGGCCGATATGCCTTTAACTCGAGCATAACCATCGGCAGCGTACCCCGCGTTGAGCTCGTTGCAATTCCCCACCCATTGAAGGCCGCAGCCCTCGAGGTAGTCTAGGGCTACCAGATTGAAGTCGCCGGGCAGCCCGTGAACAGAGTCGATGCCCATTTGCTTGAGCCTAGTGAAGAGATAAGTAGCCACATCGACAGGCTCTCTGAGCTCTGTGGTGCGGATGTCAGTTAGTTCAGCCATGGTTGGGCAAGGGCACACAGCCGGAAGAGTGAGGTAGAGATGAGAAATGAGAGAAGAGAAACAGAAAGCAACGTGCAGCGAACAGGAGTGAGTCGAATCTTATACGAAATTCACGACACGATCGGATCAGATCAGATCGGCGTAATAAGCATTGAGGTTCGCAGCGGAAGACCGGCAACGTGCAGGAGATGCTTCGAGACCTCCATCCAGACATGGACATTACAGTCAATGGGGGATTGAACAAGCAGATCCATGGTGTAAGTGCCAGCAGCACGCTGCGACAGTGATGCAAGAGTGGTATGATGTGACGCGCACATCAGTCCACCATGCCAGAAGAAAGCTTGTCACAGCATCAAGCATCCTTATGTGAGGCATTCTAAGCTGGTGCTGGTGCTGGCAACAGGCATATGTTTGTCCCTGGGCGGTCATCGGGGTGCCAAGTTTGGGTGTCAACCATGCCTAGCTGGGTAATTGTAGGTCCAAGGCCGCCCTTACGAGTCCGATAACATGTGCCTAGCAGTAAGTACACAGGGCACCCTTGGGCACCCTACGGAGTTATCTCGTTGGGCCGTTCGCAATTGATGCCAAGCTCTGCTGAAGGCCTTGTCCTTAACAGACGCGCTTATTCCGCATCCTCTATTGGGCATGCTTGCCGACAGCCTCATTAGCCCCATCCTAGCCTCCTTAGGCTTCGTAGGCCACTAGTCGTGCCTAATCACCCTTCCTTCCTCCTTCCGCCCTAAATCGTAGGTGCCGCTCATCAGCCACACGCCCCGAACGCTCTACTCGGCCTGCGACTCTCGTCTCTCACCGTCGTCGACGTCCTTCTTCGGGCTTACTACCCTCTCAGACACGGCGCCGACACCCTTGCTCCAAGAATCGAGTGGTGGCATCTGCAGATATATCAGCACTTGTCGACCAAGGCCTATCTGCACCTGGCATTCTCCGCGCTTCCCTCACTTCTACATCCACTCGCAACTTCTCTCGCCGCATATCAGTCGTCCGATCGGCTTCCTCACCGTTGTCAGTTCGCTGGGCTGCTTGCTGGCGAGTTCAGATGCTATCATGTGTCTATGACACTGTGCTTAGTTAAGGGGTGCGCCTGAGCGTTTTACTCGATTCGAAAGTGGAAGGCCCGTGGACAGTCTCCCTTGAGGCACTGTCCGCTTATTTACGACCACGAGAGTCGAGGTTCGAAAAAGCTAGGAAAACTCACATCAGGGAAATGATTCTCTCGGCTGTCCGACTGCGGTGACAACGTCGTTTTTGGCTCAAGCTTGCTGCCTATGCTGCCTCGAAGCGACAGTCCATTAGAGGATGGTCTCCAATCCCCAGATCATGGATAACCAACGACAACAGCCGTATATTCCTGGGCCTCCCCCTCCACCAGGACAGGGCACTCTCGGCCATCTACCACCTCCCCCTCCTCGACCGTATCTGCAATCGACCCTTCCTCCTCCGCCGCCAGGACCACATCCCTCCGCCCTCCCACTTGGGACCGTCTTTGGATTGCCGGGCGCAGGATGGCAGCAACCATGGGGAAGATCAGGCTTAGGCCAAAACATACCGCCTCCACCACCGATAAATCACAACCAATCTCAAGGGCAGCACCTGTCCTATGGTATGCGGCAGCTGAATATTCCACCGCCGCCTCCGCAGAACGACAAACCTATCTTGTCCGCCACATTTATTCCGACTGGGGACTCATTTGGGCCCGGTGTCGGCATTCCGCCTCTTGACGATTATTCTTCCTACTCTCGATACGATGCTCAATTCACTTCCGAACCTTCGTTATCTCATGCGGATATGAAATATGCCGATGTCACGTCTAGTTCTCATAGCTATTCATATCCCAATCCCATCCACCCAAATCCGGATATAGCCAACAGAGAAAGTCGCGCTGCCTCTGCTTCTTCCAATAGGGCGGCTTTCACTCTACCCCTTCGCGACATCAATGAACCCATCTCCCCAGGGCCCCCCACCGCAACATTAGTCAACCCACAAACGAGCGTTGATCAGGGTCGACAGCGAGCGCACAGTGCTGCCGTCACAGGAAGCACTTCCAGCGAACTTTCCTCGCAATGGCCTTTGGATCGAGTTCTCGTCTGGTTGGCCGCCAACGGGTTTTCGAATGATTGGCAAGAGACCTTCAGATTGCTGAAATTGCAAGGCTCTGACTTTCTTGACCTCGGTCGTGGACCGAATGGCCGCGGAAATCTTGGCATGATGCATCAAACCATCTACCCACAGCTCGCGAAGGTTTGTTCGAGCGGCAATACGGGTTGGGATCAGGCCCGCGAGCGTGAAGAAGGCAAGAGGCTCCGCAAGCTCATCTCTCGTCTCGTCGAACAAGGAGGGGAAGGTCCGGCCAGTGCAGGTATCGGGCATCGGAGGCGCGAGTCTGGTATGATTCCGAGTGCATCCACGGAGGGAACTCTGGAGACCTCGCCTCATCTTCCCCGATCGGAATTTGGCAGCGCGCCTGGCACTGCTGGTCCGGAAGGGAGTCCCGGCAAACAAATGCCTCCACAATTTCCGACAGGATTGGGTCCTCGAAACTCCCAGGGCCGAAGCAGCACCATGCCAGTTCTTAGCAAACACAGCAGCGCATCTTCAACCCCAAGCGACCCCAAGCCACCAGATAACCTTCCAAGCACCGGGCGTACAGACTACACCAGGGGTGTTCTGACCGGCATCAACAATCGCGGTCGGCACAGCCCTAACCTTTCCGGCGATGGCCCCAACGGCTTGTTGCCAAAGGCATTTGATGCGTCTCCCAGTGCCAGCCCGGGCCTTGGAAATGCCGTCCCCGTATCGGCTACAAGTTCCTCGTCCCAGCTACAGCGACCGGACCATAGCAAGAGCAACAGCACTGATTCCATGCTGAAAGCAACAGGTCATTCTCGCTCAAATGTCAGTGCTCAAGGTGTCTTTGAGAGGGGTAACGCAGCGTCTGGAGGTTCAGAACGTTTTTACGCAGACAGGCGCGATGCACAAGAGATGACCAGACCCTCGCCTCTAGAAGCTCAACGAACTTGGAGCAATGACTACGCACCGGGTCCGGGAGGAAAAGACCACAGTAAGGGCTTTCTCAGCAAGTTTATGAGGAAGAGGCACGAGCATAGCCAGCCTCAATCAGATGAACATCCATTGGAATCACCGACGAGCCCGGGGCCATTGAAGCTCTTTGCGAGACCGACCGCGAATGGAAGTGACTCAGTGTTACTTCAGCGCCCTGCTTCCGTAGCGAGCGAAGACGACAGAGTGCCGGTGGCGGGCCGGCGGGGCCCCAATGTTGCGAGAAGATACATTTTCGTGACGCCAGACTGTTGGAATTACCGCCTCGTGGACGTCACGGAAGTAGAAACTGCAATCGCGCTTCGCAGTCTCATCTGCATCGAGCTTGGGATACCAGACGCCGAATATGCGCAGATATTTGTTACCGAGCCTGGTCAAACAGAGCACGAGAGTGCGCTCTCGGACAGCCTGCTTGTAGCATTGCGGAACCGGACAGATAATTTGGGCAGCTTCAAGTTGTATGTCCAGAGCCCCACACTCTCTGCAGTTCCCAGCTCAGCCTCTCAGTCAACTGGTCTCGGGGTTTCCTTTGGCCAGAAAGTTCAAGTCGAAAGGGCTCCGCCTATGGTCAAATCAAACTCTTCTGGTGGCGTCAGTCGTAATGGTTATGCGTCCCCAAGTGTTGAACCGCTTGCAAGCGACCCTGCTCTCGTACAAAAGCAGGCTGAGGAGTACCGACGGCAAACGGAGGCCAAGCAAAGGGCTTACCTGGAATCTCGCCGAGCCCAGAAAGAATCAACCTCCACATACAGTGGTGGTGGCATTCGGGGAAGCACAATCATAGACTTCGACAGTCCACGTCACTCGCCGTTCGAAGAGAAGAAAGTCGAAAATCTGGTTCCGGTTCGACGGCCTCCGACGGCCCCGGCAGAATCTACCACTTTAACCAAGGTCAATTCTCTTCGTGCTAAAGGATCTAGCAATCGATCGTCCCTCGATGCCTTGAAGCGAATCTCTGATCCAATCGCTGAAGAAGACGCAGAACGTGGAAAGAAGAAATATGCCACCTTTGCAGGCATTCCTTCAGGGGGCATCGGTGCCGCATTAGCCAATGTTGGTAAGATGGCTGGCGCTCCGGCCACTTTAGGCAGTCAAGGTGTGCAACAAGACAGAAGAGGTGCTGAATACAGTCGGAGTACTTCAGGTGGGTCCTTTCGCCCCGACTTCACAAGGGGCAAAGGTGATATGTTGTTCAAAGTTCCTAACTATGAAGAAGGTTTTGCCGATATTAACCAAGAAAATCGGGCACGGAATGCTGCTTTTGAAAATTCCCAGCGTTTCGGTCCTTCTCCAGCGGTCAGTCCTTCGACTGAAATGGCACCACGACCGATTCTGCAAACTCGAAAGTCGTACGGTCCCGATCTGGAATTTAAGGAGACAAATGTCTCTTTTGCTCCTTCTCCCCATCCTATGAAGGACGATTCAGATGACGACTCAGACGATGGTTTATTCGCCATTCCCTTGGCAAACAAGTCCATGTCCAAGGATGAAACTCCATCCCGCAATAAAGATCAGAGACCAACATTGACGGTCGATACGGACCAAAACACCAGCAAAAATGTACGATTCAAATCACCAAGCTCATCCAGTGGCATGCAAAACACTGGGGATGAAAGCGCCACGGCGAGTGGAGAAGGTTACGAGCGCAGCCTGTCTGACGGCAGCTTCAGTGGCTCTGCCCAGTCTCCAGATGACCGAATGAGTAGAAGAGATTCCTTCATCAGCGACATCTGGGCGAATCGACCTGCTGTGGAAAATGTTGTTCATCATCTCGACGAATTCTTCCCAGGTGTCGATCTCGATAAGCCGTACCTTGAAGAAAAAGGCGACAACAACTCGCCGATGAGGACGACCGATCAGGATCCTCTCGACGCCCTCCAAGGACCCTCCGGTGGACCCTCTGGCGGACTCACTTTCGGTACGGCTGGACTCGATCTCGAGTTCAGTCGCAAGAGTGATTCGGATACTCTGGGCTCTGACGAGTCCACTCTGAAGGCGAAGGATCGTGATAAGGTTGCCAGTGTTGCTCAGAGACAAGTTGGCAAGGCGACAGGCGGTATTTCTAGGATGAAATCTATCCGTGAAGTCGCCCAGAAGCGCAACGACATCAGGCGAGGACCTTCTGTTGCAGCTCGGGTGGAACAGAACAATGCAAGCAGCATTGTTCGCCGGAAGTCGACAAAGATGTTTGGCGCCCACATTGTTCAGATCAGACCAAAACCAGGCAGTCGGTTATCTACCCTAGATCCTATCCCCCAAGAGGAAGTCCCCACGGACGATACGCCAAAGCGGCAGGCAACGTTCAAAATTATTCGCGGTCAACTTATCGGAAAGGGTACCTACGGGCGTGTGTATCTTGGCATGAATGCAACAACCGGTGAGTTCCTGGCTGTCAAACAGGTGGAAGTCAATCAGAAAGCTGCAGGTCAAGACAAAGATCGGATCAAGGAAATGGTTGCTGCTCTGGACCAAGAGATCGATACTATGCAGCATCTTGAGCATCCAAATATTGTGCAATACCTTGGTTGCGAACGTAAGGAGTTCTCCATCAGTATCTATCTCGAGTATATTCCTGGTGGCTCAATTGGCAGTTGTCTCCGCAAACATGGAAAATTTGAAGAGTCTGTGGTCCGGTCACTTACCCGACAAACTCTCGAAGGACTGGCATACCTTCACCAAGAAGGCATTCTCCACCGGGATTTGAAAGCTGACAATATCCTCCTCGACCTTGACGGGACATGCAAGATCTCGGATTTCGGCATCTCGAAGAAATCGGACAACATCTACGGCAACGACGTCACCAACAGTATGCAGGGTTCGGTTTTCTGGATGGCACCCGAGGTGGTCCGATCACATGGCCAGGGCTATAGTGCCAAAGTCGATATCTGGTCGCTTGGTTGCGTGGTTTTGGAAATGTTTGCGGGAAAGCGACCTTGGAGCCGCGAGGAAGCTATCGGCGCCATCTTCAAACTTGGAAGTCTCAGCCAAGCGCCGCCTATCCCCGAGGATGTACAGTCAACAGCCACAGTTGATGGGCTGAACTTCATGTATGATTGTTTCCAAGTGTAAGTCTCAAACTACTGTCTGCGGAACGTTCATGTACTGACGCATAATCAGCAATCCGACCGACCGACCGACCGCTGACACGCTGCTTCGACATTCTACATTCTGTATTCCAGACCCATACTACAACTTCTACGACACCACGTTGGCGGCGAAGCTGAGAAATGTTGACAGCGCCGGCCTTGGTTGAATCGCGACCACGATATACCCATAATTACAACTTGTTGCAACACCAAGGAGACTTTAAATACTATTTCGAGCAAATATATCCGAGAAAGGACGAGCCGTTCTTCGCACAGTAATTACGCAACGGCAACTGACGAATCTAACGTAGTCTGACGAAAGAAGGAAGATGCTCAATAATACACGATTTTTACTATAGGGATTCATCTACCCTGCGAACCTTCGATGGGTGAACCAGAACAAGGCGAGGTGATGGTCGGAAAAAGGCGACAAGATTGATGGTTGGCCTCGCGGCATATGAAGCGGACTGGATGAGGAGTGCAGAAAAATTCCCATGTTATATTGCGCATTCCTCAACTTCTCCATGGGAAATTCCCAACTTTGGCGATTTTCTTGTGCATTCCTCTTTCATCACCCATCACTTTCCCACCACTCTAGTTTGGTCGCAAACCATTTGCTATCTTCAAGAAGAGCGGGCATCGTATCCTTTATCGAGGCTTTACAAACGAAGCCATCCACCTCAGTCGGTGCGTGTCCTGTTTCGTGGCTGCCGTTTGCGGCGCTCTAGTGCTTTGTTCGTGTCTTGCTGGAAGCGTTATCACGCCTTGTGGCTCCTTTCTTCTGCTTCACTTTCTTTGTACATGGCTACCTATGCCAGGACAGGCACAAAAGGGCAAACTTTCGTCTGGGGACGGGTCCCTTACCTGGCATTTCCTACACCAGTCCATTCCATCGCAAACAAGTTGCTGCACAGGATACATTAATCGAATCTCGGGAAAGAACAAAAGATCAATCGGCTAAAATGTTGAGTGTAAGTCCAAGTCTCTGCGCATATCCTTGGCTCGACGTCCGTTGCAATGCGGCGGCATTGTGTTTGATGGGCGCCCACGATTCTAACTCGCCCTAGAAAAATAGATCAGCCGAACTCCCACAGCATTCCGACTACACACAACCAGAAGCATTCGAGCGAAATGCTCCGTCTACGCCATCCACTCCCAGCAGCGTGAGAAAGAAGTGTCGACTTGGTGCAGCAGCCGCCCTCGAAATGGCAAAGTTCGTCTCTAATAGCCTCCAAGGTATTGCCGCCGAGGCTGCTGGAGTCTCGAAGACTCGAAAGGCAAATTTTCAAAAGCCTATACCGGCTACTGCCGCCAGTTCACGGCCTTCTCGCGCGCGGAAACCTCCTGAGCGGTATTCCCCTGACCCAGAAGATATGCCGAATAGAAGAAAGACGAGGAGCGGTACCAAGACCGCTAGAGACGACAACAAAGCCGGCGGTGCACCGCCTATTGACTCTCCGAAACACAAGACCAAGCGTGCTATAAAGCAGGCCGTGGAGGATGCGCTAGGAGCTGCCTATGTAAGTCCTACCACTGAGGACAATGCTCCTGCGGCAAGCAAAACTAGATCGAAGAAGGACGCTACTAAGGGAAAGAAGAAGGCAATCTCGAAGAAGAACACCACCGCCGAGACCAAGAGGAAAACTACCGCGCGAAAGGAGAAGGCGGGGGCGAAGAAAACCGAGATCACACTCAAGGTGAATAGTCACGTGGGTTTTGGGGGGGCGGCTACCGCTGCTTCGAAGAAGACCGCAGCCGACGAAAAGGAGGAGAACAAGAAGAAGACGCAGCAGGGGCAGAAGGACGAAACGGTCAAGGGGCCAGCGAAAAAGACAACCGCGTCCAAGAAGCCCGCGTCCAAGAAGGCTGAGGGGAAGACAGCCGCCGCCGCCGCACCCAAAAAGTCAGCCAACAAGAAGAGCGCTGCTTCAAAGAAGGAGACAAAGGCTAAGGCTACGACTACAACGACCAAGAAGGTTACCAAGCCCAAAGCCACTGCAGCCAAAACCGGCAAGAAAGCCCCTGCGAAGAACGCTGCTCTGGCAAAGACCAACGATGCTGGACAGTCCAAGGCTCCCAAGGAGCATGTCACAGAAAGCAGCGTCAAGTCACAGTCTTAGCCATTAGGCAAGCTCAACGGAGGTCGGAGAGTACAGGGAACTGGATGTTTTGAGATTTGGTTTGTTAATGTAGTAGTAGTACTTTGGGTAGTTGTTGCCAGACTGCATATTACTTGATTCTGCCTGCCTCCGTCGAGCGATGTTGAGCCGGTAATCGCCTTCGGTTGAATTCGTGGTTCTCGGTTCCATTTCCATCTGTATCACACACTAACCTCAGGTATCTTACCACGGATTCATGAACAGGTCGGAATCAGGGTCTTGAAAATAGTTGCTCGGCAGATCCTCGCCGATGCCAGTAGACAGAAGCACATCATCACCCGTCCCGTATGATCTGTTCATTGGTATATCCTGGTCATAGGTCACAAAGGGTGGATGGGTATCTGCCCTAAGGGCCGAGGTAGGTGTCCATTGCACTGCATCTGGCGGCGCATACGAGGCGCTCATCGTCTCGGACGTGTTGCTATTCGGGAAGAAACCAGGCCTGGCGAGCCTCTAGGATACCGCATTGTCTTGGTCGGAGTCATCATTTGGCCCGCTGGTTTCTCCTTCGTGCAAATGCTGGCCATCCTGGTCAAGAAAAGGAAGAGGTGACGGATGCTCTGACACGCCGTTTAGGGCCACAACCGAGGGAGAAGACACTCGAGTTAGATCCACGGGGTTAGACTCGCCATAGTCTTCCCACGCAGCCGGAATCTCATGCTTAGTGTCCTGGAGCATTTACCCTCCGATCTGCTGCATCTCTTGCGGTCACATTCCCACCGTTGAGTTGGTCAAACGCTGGCCACAGCCTCAAATTGTAATTGAGCCATTGGCACAGCACGGGGGGACGAATCTGGCGCATCAGACTGAATTCGCCAGCCACTGCAAGTGTTGTGACGAGCTTATCTCCTGCAACACCTTTAAGATGCAAATCACCAAGACCATGGAAATAGTAAAGTAACGCACGCGCTGGCTAAAGTGTCCTTTGAAAATGACCCGAACAACGAGACCCGATGGCTTTGGACGCTTTGTAGCTTCGAGGCAAATGTCCCCAACTAAGTCTTCATCACCAGTCTTGATAATATTTTGAAAGGAAACCCAAATCGAACACGAACAGTCCTTCAGATTTGAGAACTGCGGTGATATACTCTCAACGTGGAGTATGTCCAGATGAGAGTCAAGGGCTCTCTTGGTCGGCAAGCTGACAGAATGGAAGTCGCAGCCTCGGAAGGGGCACAAGAACTGTCTTTCGTGCCCTCGAAGGTGAGCATCTCTTTCTTGATGTGTGGGGAATCCGCCGTAGAACCGCGAGCAAGAGAGACTTGTACGCTGATACGGACGAGGACCGTATGCTTCTTTGAAGAAGGCTTCCTTTTTCATGGGCCATTTGGAAAGAGATTGTAGCCTCGATGGCCTCTTAAATCCTAGATATTTGTCGCACGACTGGTGAGCTTTCGTCTGCTACGATGGTTGTATTTCGAAGAGGCCTAATTGGGATTTCGAAATGTCCTACCATAACTTGGTGAGAGTTCTTCATACACGGCTTCTAGCCTTTCTAGCCAACGTATGAGGTTAGTTCTCCCCACAGGCTGGACGTCCTCTCCGTCATCAATAGCCGATTCACAAAAGGAGAACAGATTTTTGTAAACTCCCTGGATGTCTTTCCCCATGCCTTCACTAATTCAAGGCTCTGAAATATGGCATTCCTCCAGGCAGCGGACGTGGGATAGCCAATGCAAGATAGCGTATTTGTCAAAAGTAAAGCTTCCCCTTCTTGCAGCTTCGGCCACCTTTTCGTCCTCGTGTGTGGACGCAAAGAAAGCAAGCGAAAGGTAAGAGGTGCATATCTTGCCGGAGAGGAAGGCGGCAGACGCAAGGTTGACGTATTCCGAGTGATATTGATCCAGATAGCTGCAGCGGAGATCAATGAGATCTACCAAAAGCAACGCAACTTACTCTTCGACCGTTTGGTGTGCTAAATCAGCCGTCCCATCTGGGTTCGACTCCACGAGTGGCCAGCAGATCTCTTTGAAGTGCTGCGTGTATCTTCCCCTGCTGAAATCGATTCGGTGGCTCGTGGTATTCATCGGAAGCACGCCCTGGAGTTCATGGACGTAACGTTTTCGCTTCGCACAGCTCAATATTTCCAGGACCAGCTTTGCCCGGGGCACGACCGGATTCGGTCTCTCTTTTTCTAACCCGGAACAATATCGGACCATATCTTGAACGTGAAAATCAGTGAACGCCGACAACCTGGGCATGGGAGCCAACAATTACGCTTCGTCGATACCGACGGGCCGTTCTTTTCCAGCATATTCTTCATCGAAGTGCAAGCGAGTGGCACCATTCTCAAACAAGTCCAAGATGAGTCTCGCCAAAGAAACATTCCTTTCCAAGCTTAGTCCTCAGTCAGGAGCAAACAGACCGTCTTGAACTCACAGGCACATCTTGGAGAAACCGCCCTATTCAGATCCCCTATATGTTGACTTGTCATATCAAACCTGGATCATTCTGTGCTCCCGCCCCCCTGCGTAATAAAGAATATCCTCTGAAAGATGCTCGGGTCCGACCTTCACATGATAGCAGACAGAGGCCTTGAATTTCTCGGTGTCTCGCTCTGCCTGACTTGTGAGGAATAAACGTAAATCGGAACTCGTCGCAGGGAGCGTGAGCAGTTCTTTGAGCAGCTTCAAAACTTGTCCCTGCTGTTCCTGCTCTCAATCATCGAGCCCGTCAAATCCAATGAACACTTCTTCATAACATTGTAGGGCATCTTAGATTCTTGTCGTTAGCGCCTGCTGTCTGTCTTGCCGTGCGCTCAGTACCATTTCCGGCAACATCAAATAGATTTTCCCCGCAGATGTCCTTGATGCCAACGAGCTGATGCATCAACGAGCGATCCAGCTTGTCAAAGCTATTCCTCTGGCAGTCATGGTATTTGCAGTAAACGTATGCAACCGCAAATTATGAGTTCCTTTGTGACTGTTTCATGAACGCTTGGACCATTGAACTAAAGACCACGGTCTCGCCTGTTTCTGTCAGCGATGCGGTTTGAACGAGACTGGCGGCCGAGTCCTTTACCGGCCGCTGGGATTTCGAGACCTAGAGAATGCTCCCATTTTTCTCTTCATTGTTGAGCCGGTTTTTCCAACAGGGCCCGTCGAAAATCCACTTTGCCGCCTGCGGATAGTATTGTCTGAGAACGCAAAGCTGTTCGTGCCATTCATGACGCTTGGCAGGATTAAGCCAAGCCTGTACAACAGCTCTTTTCGGTACACGTGTTGTCTCTTGTTGTGTTTTGAACATGGCCTCGAACTGGCGTCCGTGCTTCTTGGGTAGCTTGATAATGCGCAATGCTTGCTGAAGAATAGAGCAGCTCCTTTGAACGCTCGAGGTTGCTGAAAATGTCACCAACCATGTCCTCGAACGCACGACATGTAACGTGTAACGCAACGCTTCAACTTAATTCGTAAGCCTGCAACATGTTACTGGGCCGCACAGGTAAGTGTCATATCGAACCTACCTGACCGGGTGAAGAAAATGAGAGTACGCAGGTGGAAAGAGAGGATATCCTTGTATACACTGACTAGAACAGCAATTGCTCGACTGCCGAGAAATGGAGAAGAACAGCTTTGATCTTCACATAGGGTGCACACGAGCAATATGGGAAGCGAGGCAGATATGTAGGAGCCGCCTAATATCGCCCGCCGCCTGGCGAGCTGGCTACAGGTACTGGCAAGTACGGGATAGGCCTCGTCGGCTACTTAGACCAAGCGCCTTGGCACCCTGTGTCTGCAGGTGGTCGAGCCCCCGGAGAAAAGACAAGAAATGGGCTGCTAGGAGCTCACGTGGGACTCAGCCAGACCGCTCGCCGTGTCGCTTTTGAAAATAACTGACCCTGACTCAGAGCTTCATACTCACTTTGCTCAGCTTCACAGCGTCTGGACACACATCTGTCTCTCAATTTGAAAAAAAAAAAAAATGAAAAAATCAAGAGCTTGAAAAAGGGCAAAAACATGGGCGCAATCCAGGGTTCGAACCTGGGGCCTCTCGCATTTAACTTAGAGTGAGCCCTAAGCGAGAATCATACCACTAGACCAATTGCGCGTGAGGTTTTTGTAGTGTTGGTGGGTTGATTTGTTGCTAAAAGTTTGAACATTGGGTATATCAGAATTGAGAAAACGAGTGGAGTTGAGCACGTCACGTGGTTTCTAAGCTTAATTTGCCCCTAGACAGTGATGACTAAGCGCCAAGCCCACAGCAAAGGGCGCACATGCCCCAGCGCTGGGTCTTCTCCCCCGGACAACTTTTCATCCACGGGGCAGATGACGCTGCACATGGTGCCATTCGACTCGCCTCGTCCCGGGCTTCAAAATGACACTCAGTTCATCAAATTATCTCCCGGTTTCGCCGTGATGCGGGCCACTTTGTGGCCCTCGAAGTTTTGAGGTGGTCAGGCCAGCTGGCCAATGAGATCGCCTGGCCGCGGCCTCTCCCCACGAACAGGGGCACAGCCTGGGGGTCAGACCACCACCACCACCACATCATCGCTCTTTGGGGGTTGACGAACACCAGCGGGACACCCGCCGCAATTCGCCCAAGGACATACATTTTGCGACAACGCCGCCCGCTGCAATTGTCGAGATGCTCTAGTCTACGGCCACAATTTGGTGCTACCCAAGAGACAGACGTAGTGGCAGCCGAGCGAGTCCAAGAGCGCTCGGGTGTCGTTGTACAACTCCATTACAGCGCGGGCAGGCACGCAACGTCCGTTGGGCGCTGTTCACGTCGTGAGGTCTCAACCACGGTCGCGCAATGCTCGGCAACACTTGTCACGCGGCGAGATCTTCGGCCCCTCTCCCCCGTGACGAGATGGCAGATCAATCCATCCACTGTCAGAGTGGCAGCATGGTTGCAAACCGTGCGTATCGTCGTGGTGTCCCGCCGAGGAGACTGTGAGCTCGAGATGATGTTGAAACGACGATTGGGAGCAACGGGGAGGGATCAGCTGCGTGGACTATGGTCATTCTTCGCCGAGCCCCCCGGTCATCACTGGTCCCCACAGATCTGACCACTTGATTACCGCAACGCCGACCATTCATGTTGTACACAGAACAGTTGTGGATCTATCTGCTTGATTGTGTTCTGTCCCCCTGGCTATTCAGAGAGACTCTGCCTGTTTACATACACTTTGGCCTGTAATCTGAAGAGCATTCCTGAAACCTCCTATTCCGTCGCCATCCTATCACAGATCAGCGAGAGCAACGGTGTTGAGGTAAGTGGCTCTCTCGAGGCCCTGTCAACAATTCATCTGTCCTGCCAGGTGTTCTCGGCCGCTGTCCTTTCAGCGAGTTCCTCCTGTTGGGACTGGAGCAAGGCGACGTGGCTGGGCCCCCAAAGGACCCGCATCATTTGGGCTGTGGACGCAGGCTTCAAGGCAGGATGCACGACTGAGCATGAAAAAACCCGTCACAGCGGGCACAGGACGGCGGCGTGAGCATACCAGCGCGGTCCGGGGGCTTAATCACCGTGCCGGCCGTGTGTCATTCTTTACGGTTCGAACGGAGGAGTCTATGGTTTTTTGATCCCGCCTGCCTCTTCCTGAGCATCTCTTCGGTCCTTTCCCCCTCGGCGCCGCCGCCTCTCGGGGGGTGGTGCCGTCTCGCCCGCGCCGTCCAGAAAGGGTTCTCGATTTCCGCCCTGAATGGCAGGTGCCCGTGCAACCCCAGCCCAGAAGTGCTGGGGGACAGGAGGGACGTTTGGCCGGTGTCAGGACGCCAGCCACGCACCCTCTCCTGTCACAGCCATCCTGGCCGACGTTGTCCTGGATGTCACGAGATTTCCTCAACCGAGGGCGAGGTATCACTTGAATCAGGCAGAAAGACCCCCAAAAAAAAGACCGATCTATTGGCTCCCTGGACCATGTTCGTCACGGTTGGGGTTCAGTGGTGGGGGTTGAGTACGTCCCCCGTACGCGATCCTGAATCAAAGTCACTCCGACATGCATTCTGTCAGCTCTCCATTGTCATGGCCCCCATTCCATCTTCGCCAATCCACGGTGTCGTGCCTAGGAGGCTGAGGAAGGATCATGGCACGGGCGTGAGTGCCAAGACGTTCCTCGGCCACGTGGACCGCGCACAGAGTAGTGCCTTGGCGGCCTGCGCCACCTCAGTCACGCACCACCCACCCCGTTGCCGTCCGCTATGCTTGAGACAGCGTGTCCACGTCCACGCCCGACAGCTTTTGGAGCTGCGCCAGTTTGGCCAAAGCTCCTTCGAGTTCCTCTCGCTGCTGAGTCTCCGGGAGGAAGGACGTGAGGTGGGTCAGCCGGGCGCTGATGTTCCGCCATTTCAGCCTCTTCTCGTACTGCAAGATCGTGTCCATCGTCCGGGGTGGCGGGTCCGCCGGCCTTGTGCGGGGAGCCACGCCTTCCAAGATGTATCTGAGAGGGTACGGCACGCCGTCGGTCTCCTGCCTAGAAGCACGTCAGCCACTGCTCCACACGGCCCGCAGACACTACCCTCACACCGGGCTCTGGAAGTCTCGGACGACTTGTCGGGCGAACGGCCAGGCGCGGTCGTTGTTGATCAGCTTGAGAAACGCGCTCGCCGTCTGCCGTCCCTCCGTCTCGTCCCAGTCCGGTCGCGCGGCCGGGTCTGACTTGAGGTATGTCATGTAGTCCACGACGAGGACGATGAACCTGGCTCTGCCTCGGGCGGTGTTCAGGCCTTCGTACGTCGACAGATCTCCGACCCGTGCTGTCTCGAAAGTGTGGCGGACCATCTCCTGGCGGACGTCAACAATGTTTCTGGCGGTCTCGGGAAGGAGAGGGGGGGTGAGGCATCAATCCACTTCAGGCCGCGGGAGGGCCGCGCGAGGGGGGAGGACATGTATTTGAACACGCCGTCCGGCGCCGCCACTCTCCCCTGATGGTTCTGTGTTGTCGTTGTTCTACCGACCGAGACGGCGCCCTGCAGCCCGCATCCTGTCTGGGGCCTCCTGACGTCCCACGGGACCTTCTGTCACACGTGAGGCGCTGCGGGGGGGAAGGTGTGCCAGGGAAGGTGCGGCTGCGAGCCTCAGAGCCGGGAAGGTGTGCCGAGGACCATTTCATCTGCTCTTCCTTGTCTCAGTTCTCAGACTCATCGGCTCAACTACCTCGAGTGGGCAGGGCAAAACACCTTCGCGAGAAGAGTCTGAGCGCCAACACGTGGTTTGGGGGAGAAAAGCGTTCGTGGTCCATATATCAGATTAACATTCACTCCTTTCTTGAAATAACTATCGAACGATGAGTCGAAATAACACAGCTTTCTAATATACATTATTCTAAATTCGATTCTTCATAGATCTGGTTATTTTGACTTTGAACATCTCTCATAATTCCTAAGATATTTAAGAAAAGAAAAAAAAACAACTTGCAAAGCTCTAACTCTCTATCTTTAAAGTTTAATAACTGTACGAAAAAAGTGTCAGGGCTGCTGCTGTATTACCTGACGGGGTCAGGCTCCTCGGTAACAGATCCTTGGCAGTATGAACTGGGTGAGGGAAACGCAAGGTATGAACAGTCTTGTTACTGAGAACGGTAGAGTTCAGTGGGTAGCATGAATTGGCCACGGAGAGAGTGTAACTATAGAAGGGGGGAAGGAGCGTAGCTATACACTTGCGAGGGCCTTCCGAATGAGGCAATATAAAATGGTATGGTGGTCTGTTGGTCTGCTCCATAATACCAACACACTAACACGCCAGCTCCTTCCTAATCTAGATATCACGTGACTTTTTGCCTTTACCCTTTGAGGCGGGACGTCCTCGGTTGAGTTGTCTTTATTGGGTGTTCCCACGCTTCCCGTGAAGCCCTCCCAAGGCTATGTCTAACAAGAAGTGATTTATTCACTGTCGTGATTATAGTGTAACAAGGCAAAGTGGCTGTGCTGGGCTGGCAGAGGGGTAGCAGGGGGGAGAGTTGTCTAGTCACATGTCAAACCAAAAATGGGCTGGTAGGGGGAGTGCAGAACGGTTTACAGTGCGGGCAGTGTGCCATTCTTTGCAGATTGAACAGAGTACCATGAATCCCATGGCTTTTTGGTGCCGTCTACGTAATTCCTGAGTGTTTTATCGGTCCTGTCCAGCTCTTCAATGCCGCCGCCGTGCTAGGCGTTTGTTGCCCTAGCCACTGCCTCTCTGGGTTGTGATTGGCCGGCGCTTTAGCTCCTGGCCTAGCCAATCAGGGCGCAGCCCCGATATCGAGTCTGAGGACCGAGACGATGCTCCCTCAAGGACCGCCCACCAACAAACAGATAGCTACACTCGCGAGCCATGGATTGACCCCTTACCGCCCATTCCTGGCCATCGCGGTGTCCCCCTCTCGCCTCTCTCTAACCGTGAAGATCCGACCTTCTCCGCCAAACGGACGCTGCTGACCTTCGACCTGCGACTCGTCGGCGGGATTCTCAACCGGCCCCGTCCCACGTTCGACTAGACCGCCACGGGTCCCTGCTCTGCCTCGCCCGCGGCCTCGCCTCGCTTGGTCGCAGCCTCGTGGGCCGCCGCGCACAGCCTCTCAGTCAGGATGCCGTACGTCGTGATACACTCCTCCCCGTCGGGCGACCCCTCCCTGTAAAACGTGTCCAGCGCCTCCAAAATACCCTGGCCCCCTTGGACGCTCCAGAGGCGGTCAAAATCGTCCCATGCCGACTTGGAGGCCTTCCACACCACTCGTTGCGGCCAGTCCCTGCCCCCCTCGCGCCGGAACTGTCTCTCACAGAGCTCGTGCATCTTCCGCGAGAGGCCGACGTACGGTTTTGGACTGAGGTACACCGTGACGGGTGCTCCGCTGAGGCCATCGAGCTGAGGCTTTTCCAACCGGACGTCCTGGACTTCCACGTCGAATGGGAGAATGGGGATGGCCCCGTCGACCCACCCGTACGCGCTGAGCAGGCGGTGTAGACGCGCCCGGGGCGTCAAGAGGTCCCACTCGGTCCGCTCCGACTCGGTCCACACGTGCGGGAGGTAGAACAACTCCGGAATCGCCTTCCAGGCTTTGTACGCGTGGAAGTTTTCGGGTTCGCCCCTCGTCTTGGCCCGTCCGGGGTGGAGTTGGAACACGAAGACCTGACGGCAGTTAGGCCGCGCACACGCGCCCGAGAGGGGCTGACCGAGAGCTCACCTTGCCCATCGCCCGCTGGCAGCACAGTTCCGTCAAAGCCAGAGCCACGCGTGCCCCGCTGTCGAGGTGGTTGTTGTATTGGTCCGCGCCCACCGACACCCAAGCTTTCCGGGGACGGATGTTCCCGTCGTCGTCTTCGTGGTAGAATTTCACGGTCGCTCCCATTTTTTGCAACCGGTGTTCGTCGAGCTTGTCCAGGATGTTGCGTGCCATTCTCGCGCGGGAAGGGCGGCCGTGGGTGGTGTGTGCGGTAGACACGCTCGACAGTCTGGCGGGGGCCCAAGGGAAATATCATTTCCTCTCCGCCACTTCTGCTGCTCCGCCGGGACTGTCCGCGGCCAGGCATGCGGACGGCCTTGCCGCACTTGCCGTCACACGGCCCCGCACACGCGCGTCTCCTTTGTGCTACCAGCTAGTGGCGACGGAACCGGGCTGGAAGCTCACTGCCTGCCGGCCTGTAACACAAACGAGACACGTGCGCTGGCAGAGGAGACACGAGCGAGCGCCCCTGACGAGTATCCGTTCTCCACCAAAAGGGCGCATCCGGACTCGTCCGTGGGAGGCTGGAGGCCCTGTGGACCGCCAGGCTCCGTGCACGCCGTGCGGGAATACTTCATCGCCCGGGTGGACTGCTCTCCCACGACCTGGTCAACACTTCCTGAAGTCATTCGCAGGCGGGACAGACGTGTTGGACGTCTTCCTGACACTTGAGTTCCTTCCCCCCTGGCGGCCTCGCAGCTTGGGCACGCTGTCAACACTAACTCTCGGGCGGTCTTCGTCGCGACCATGACAGCAATCCCAGAGAGCCTCCCGGACCTGGTCGCGAGCCACATGATGAGAATCACCCTCTCCAATGCAGCCATCTTTGAAGCGGACTGTAGCGTGTTGCTGCAAAGCGACGACCCATGTTTCGTGCGAGCAGCTGAAGGGGCTGTGGCCGATGCTGGATTGCTTGTGGCAGGGCAGACATTGCTTCCCACGGACCCCAAGGAGCGCCTCGCCAGGGCTCTCGAGGCAGGAAAAAAGATCGCGGCGGTTGACTTCAAGGTCATGGCGATGTCCCTCGGTCAGATGGCCAAAACCGGCGGTTGTTACTACTACATGATCAATTGTTCCCCCCAGCAGAGGCAGCAATGTGCAGCCGTCATCGTGCACAGTCTGCTGGCGCCACAGCTGGTTGCTGTGATCCCTTTGTACTATCTGAACAAAAGCGGCCGACAGGCGCACGGGGAGACGGAATCACGGTCCTTCACCGGCCGCAAGATCCCCTACTTCGGCGAGGGTGTTGAGCCGTTTCCCCTGGAGTGGAGTCCCTTTGTGATGCCGATGGAATTCGTGGGCCGTGCGATGGGACAGCTTCGCCGGTTCGCCGCCGGGACAGTTGCGCGGTGGTAAGCCAGGTCTCCCGCTCGCCCTGCGCGTGCTCGTGTGGTGCTGACCCCAAGTCCGCAGGAAGAACCCCTACAACGACATCGTTTTCGACAACTGTCCACGGCCACCCCTGGTGAGCCCGCGGGTGCTGCTACCCCCCGAGCAGTCGCTCCTGACGGACCACGCCTTTCTCGAGTCGCTGAGATGTGCATTTCGGAGCCACGGAGGCGAATACCGGATTGCCCCGCCGTGCGTCCGTGCGTCCAGCGGAGATCTTGTTGTGACGCACATGCCGTCGAGGACCCGGGCGATGATTGAGGTGAAGCGGCAGCTCCTTCGCTTCCCCGACAGCCGCACCATCGAACATGACGCCGAGTACTGGCACGGTCGTTCAGGGCAAGGCATCTTCCACGCTTTCACCCCCTGGGATTTCTTGCTGAGTACCGCAAGCCGGGAAGGGAAGGCGATACTCATCTCTCGCGACGACCTGCCTCGTGATTGGTTCCAAGGACCGCCGAGCGTCACCCGCGCCGCAAGATTCACGAAGGAGTTCCTCGAGCAGCACACTCTTCGAGATATCGAGGGTCTGACGAACCGGCAGGCCGGCGACCACGCTCGGAAGCGGCTCGCGCACGGGATGATCGCCATTTTCGACCGATATCGACAAGACGGACGATTCGAGGCGCGGACCAGGATGGGCGTCCCCCCCACCCCGCCCGCCGGCGAGGGCGGGGCGGCGGAAGGTTCCGCGGTGCTTGGCGGTAGGGCCGCCGTGCGTGACTCTCCTCCGTCGGCGCCCGGCCGTCAGGAGAGCGAGGAGGCACGTGACGGCTGCGGGACCCTCTTTGAACGGCGCATGTACCCTTCACGACAGGCGGCTCTACTAAACCGTCTTTGTGCAGAAAGGTGAGCTCCTTGTTGCGCCGCCGCGGCCCCCCGTGCTCCCGTGCTGACAAGGCGCAGCGAAAACTATGCCGTCTACGAGCTCGGCCGCCATCCTTCAGCGACACATGTCTTCGCGCTTGGACGAGCCAGCAGCATTGTGGACCTGCATCCCGACACCCCGATGATCTACCTGAACTTTGCCCAGGTCGACATGCTCCAATTTCGACTTCATGACAAGAGGAGACCGTCCTCGTTCTTTCATGCGACTCACGGCAGGTCCAAATCCATCTTCATCCTGAACCCCGTGCCGGACGATCTCGACGGACCTCCGCACGACTACTTTGTCCTGCCTTCTGAAGCGTTGGACACTGAAAGCCGACGGAGACTGAACGACGAGCAGTTGAAGCAAGAGCCTTGGCGAACATCCAGACGCGCGACGTGGCTCACGCTGAACAATGGCGAGCCTCTCTTTGTCTACCGGACCGCGAGGCGTGACCTGGAGGCGACCTTGCTGCGGGTGTTTCGGCAGCCACTTGATCGCCAGGACGTGTTCCTGGGCGACGAGAAAACGGGCTTGGGCACGAAGATCTCGGTGCAAGAATACGTCCAGACTCAGCGCGCCGTCCTGGAGGAGTACATCTTGCTGCTGGAGGGGGGGTCGTTCCACCGCAGAGAGGAGGAGCCCTTTGATGAGTCATCCAGTGGGGAATGTAGCAGTAGCGATGAAAGCGAGGACGGTGGCGTACCGGTATGACTGCCCAGGCAGTGACCTTCACGGCTGCCATTCGGTGCGGAACCATTGTCAGGAGCCTCATTGTGTTACGTTGGGCTGGACATTCGCGTGACTGTTTCCTGCTGCTGATTACGTCTCCTTGCGGCACACGCCATCTTCACCATCAAGGCAGGCCCCCGTGCCGGCCGACTGCCCAGGGCAGTTGGTGCTGCTCCGTCGTGCTGCCTCTCCCGCCATGATCCGGCATATATATGGGGACGTCATGGCCCCAGCATCATCTTCTCAACCGATTCAACAACCATGAACGATCAAACAGCTGGGCGTGGGGCCATGCGGTCTGACTCCGAGGGCGTATCGGCAGCATCGCCAAACAACAACCCCAAGACGAGGAAGAGAGGTGTTCGTGCCGGGGCAGACCAAGTTGCCGGCCGGCGGGAGAAACTCAGCAATGCACAACCCTCGACTGTTCCTGCGGTGCGCGGTGCCTTGGAGATTCCAGGACATCGCCTGCTGCCTCAGCAGTTGGCAACCGACGAAGCAAGCCCCCTCTTGACGCAGGGATGGCAAGACCTGCCCATTTGTAAGGTATTTCGGACACTGATGGGCTGGACTGACTGGTTTTTTTTTTTTTGGTTTTTTTTTAGACGACAGCGAGACCGGCCCGTGGGGACCTGGCAAACCGTTAACCGATGATGGAACATGGGGAAAGGGCCTCGCGCTCTCGGATGAGGACTTGGAGAATTGGAAGACTGCGTCGTGGGAGAGCTACAATCCTCCTTTGGTCAAACGCCCCCCCAAGGGCAGCGGAAGACGGCGAACCAAGAACGGACCTGCCACCCCCAGCAAGGCCAGCAAAAGTGCCAGCAACGCAACCCCTCCAGCCAAGATCACAAAAAAGAGAAAGGTATGTCCATCCACGACCTCTGGTGCTTTCTTTCTTGCTGAGGAGGAGATCAGGGCGTGGTCACTGATGACGAATGTGAGACTGTGGAGAAGCCCCCAAAGAGACGGAGAGCGGAGCGGAACTTACAGCCACCACCACGTACCGTTCGCACCAACTTGCAGGCCAAGACGCGGTCGGGCTGAGGCTCGGTCCGAAATGATGAAGGTGCCGGACGAGATTGGCCCACGGCCTCCAGGGCCGACGGCGGGGGTGGTCATCCCGGGGACAGGTTGAGGTGGAGGGGAGGAGGAGAATCCGGGTCGCAGATTGGGGCGGGCAGGGCGCCGCGTGGTGCATTCTGGTGGACTGGGGAGGGTCCTGTCGCGGTTGATTGAGTTGATTGCCAGAGCGATCTGTCTCGGCATGGCACCCTTTCCATGGGAGTTCCGCAGTGCAAACAGCAACCAGGGCCGGGCGTTATCCGTCCAACACGTTCGGCCAACAGGGCCAAAGTCTTGATGGATCGGCATGCCACCTAGGGGGCCTTTCAAATTGTCTGCTCTGGGGTGGGCGGGAAGTTGAGGGGTCGAAAAAATGCAAAATCAGATGTGTCTATGATCTCCGCTGCCGGCACGCCTACCTGTTCTATCATAATTGGTCCCACGACGGCCTGTTTCCATTCTCCGCATTCGCACGCTGCCCCGCCCTCCGAATATGCCTGCACCTGACTGTGCCCATCTTCAAACCTGCTCCTGTCTCGTTGAGGGTGTTGGAATACCTCCAAATCCGACGGTCATGGACATGGAGTCCATCGTCCTTCCATCCCCCCCCCTGTCGAGAGGCGGACTCCGCGATTGTCACAGTGCCCTACAAGTCCCCCCCCCCCCCACGTTCTGCCAGGTAGTTCTTCACGACGGACTCTCTGATTCCACCGCGGCCGCTGAACATTCTCGTGCCCAGGCATTGATGTGTTCCCCGTCCGTCATGACGCTGGAAACAGACGAGCTCCCTCCATCAGAACCTTGCGCGGTGAAGCCACTTGAATTTGTGGTTTGAGTCAGATGGCTGGAAGAACTGCCGCGCCGCCTCGGACTGTGGGACTGAAGGTCGCTGCGCAGTTGTTGAAACGGTTGGATGAGCAAGGCCCGAATGTTGGCCGCCAGTTGGTTGACCCTCGACTCCGCGACCTTGCTCGCCAGGCCGATCCCGTGGAGGTGGGCGAATGCTTCTTCGTGAGCTTTCCCCGTCGCTGTGTACTTGTTCTTCAAGCTGTGTCTGGATCAGTGGCGTGGGGAGGTCAGGGTGGGAGAAGTCAACTCACAAATCCGGGGTCAAATGACCGTCAAGAAAGAACAGACAGCCTGGACCAAACGCTTCGCAGAGGGCACTCAGCTTGCTGCCGTGGATGCTCCACTCGTTCACATCCGCCAACGCCACGTTGGTGTCAATACCCTCGTACTCCAAGACGGCACCGAGGTACTCCTGAAGGTCTCTAAGCATGTTTCGCCCCACCCGACCGGTGCCAGAAGGACGGACCAGCTTCACCAGGTCAAAGTACATGATCATCACGAAACCCCAGCGGACGGTGTCTTTTTCACGACGGTCCCGCAGGCTCAAGGTATATGCGTAGCGGGAGCTAAACGCATTGCCACGCTCTGCCGAGCTCATTCCAGTGCTGAGTTCGCCCCGGCACTCGTCGGTGTCGAGCAAGAACGCGGCAGCATCATCGCCGTATTCGTCGAGGTGCTCTTGGACAGCTTGCGACAGCTGGAGGTCGGCGGGCTTGAGTTTCAGAAACCGTGACCAGGGGCTGTTTGCTTGAGTTGGGGTTGGCGGGGCCACACGAGGACGTTTGGAGGAGGGTCCGTCGCGGTGGCTGCGAGACCGCTGAATGCTCGCCTGGGGAGCCTCTTCGTCGTCGCTTTCGGACTCGTCTTCAGAACCGCTGAGGGACACCAGTTCTCGGGACCGCTTGCCCAGACCATTGCTTGGAGCCTGAGAAGCACCAGCTCTCGGACGGGTTCGCGGTCTCAAGGGGAGGCTGTGTAGGCGGGCGGAGCGCGCGGCCGTGTTCTCCGTCCTTGTCCCGCCAGGGGAGGGATCAGTTTCTTCTGGAACACTGCTTTCTGCCTCGTGGTCGCCCTCCTCCGCCTCTTCTGACCCCTCCTTCATCTGTCGGTCCTCTGCATCCCCACCTCTTTCGTGTTCGTGCCCATCGGCTTCCTGCACCGGAGAGTCCGCGCCTGGGTCGGTCTCTGTCTCGGCGGCTGTCAAGTAGAAGTGGCGACTCAGCTGGAGGAGGGCAGTTCGTTGTTCTGACGTCAGGGAGGCCGGTGGCATCGACAGAAGGAGGTTCATGTGCTGCAGCATCCATGGTTAGAAGGGAGGACATCCAAGACGGGATCGGGCCACCTACTGCTTCGCTGTCCAAGATCCGCGTAAGAAGGGAGAACGGACTTTCCGCCGGCACCTTCTTTGAGAACAGGCCGAACATTGCGCTGGATGTGGGAGTTTTGTCTGCTCTTCAGGCTGACCAGAACTGTGGTGCTTGGTGTATGTCTGCCAGGAGGAAGCAGGAGCGCCTGGTCTCGCCTTTATAACCATCAGCCAGCTTCTCTCCCTCCATCCCAACCTGGCGTACGTGCGGCATGCGAGGCTTCCGTGCAGCCTGTTGGCCTTGCAGCGTGGAATCACACATTGCTTGTTCTTGTCTCGGGTTGCCGTTGCTGGGACCGCACAATTGACCGGCCCTGCCATTGTGTATCTCTTGTTGAATCTGAGACAGCTTCCCACTTTGGCTTCTTGATCAAAAGCCGCCCAGTCGGCAGAATGAAGCCTGTCTCGGGCAGCGGTAGGAGCCATCTGCGGCACAAGGGGGAAAGGGTTTGAGGTAGGAGTATTTCTTTGTGTTTGCTTCTGCAGGTGTTGCAAACCAGACCGATCCTTTACCTCACCTCTCCACCTGCCCTCTTTCACCTCTTGACTTCAGTTACATGACCCGAGATCGGTCCCTTGATAAGAGTCCGCGTGGGCGCACTTTGGGAGCCGCCATTTCTGCCCAAGCCTACAATCCGGTCACCGCAGGAAGGACTCAGCGATTTGGTCTCCCTGGCGATTCCTTTCGCAAAGTACGTCCCGGAGCCTTGTCCAGCCGACATCTGCCCAGACGAGCTGACCTCTGCGAGTACGACAGGACCGCTCGACTCCAACCAGTGCTGGCCAGAGATCTCTGCAAAGCCCCACCAGGATCAATGTCTGTAAGTGAGAACATGTCCTGCCCTTTCTCCGAGGGGCGTCACTGATCTGGGTTCGCAAGCCCGCCCGACCCCATCGCCGCGCGGCGGTGCGTATCTCCTACTTTGTCTGCTCGGCATACCTGACGTGGCTGGTCGGAAACTGCATAATCGGCGCACTCTACGAGATGGGGTGGATGGGCTATTCATGGACCTCGTTCCTACACTCTTGTGGGTGGCCAATAATCGGCTGTCTGTTTACGATCTCCATGTGTCTCAAGTGGACGATGTACAACAAGAGTCCTCCACAGTACGATCAGATCCCGCTCCCGTGGCACAGAAAAACCATTTTTACCCGTGGATGAGGCGTGGTCGGTGCAGATGGCGGGATCACGGGGGGGGGAAGCATGTAGACCAAGGCCGCCGGCCCCGACATGCTCGTGTCGAGTAATCAGAAATGCAAAACACCTGCTGACCGGTGCTTCTCCCACCTTAGACATTCCTTGCTGTGCGTGCGATGGCGATTGCCCTTCTGTGTCTCTGCATTCTTCGATCTTCCCGATCGTGGTCAGGAGTGGGAGTTGAACTCGCTTCTGCAAATTCAAGGGCTGTGGCGCTCCAAATTATTGCCGGGCCCAGAAGACATCGTCGGGGAGCAAGAGCCCAGGACAAAGCGCACGGCCGAGGACAACAGAGCGTCACGCAGAGATGAGGCGCAGCAGGCGAGTGCCGGAGGCCACGTTGATCAGCTCGAAGTCTACGAGATCTCACGTCCCCACCCGGAATGCAGCAAGGGGTCATGGGCTCCCGAGGAGATCAACGGCGGTGACAATGATGGTGGAGAGCCAGCGGAGGCCCTCGCCAATGGCACGGATTCTCGGGGTGGGCCTGGAACTGGGGCTTTTGCGGAGCAGATGGGCTTGCAGCAACCCGCACGTGGAGCTGCTCTGTCAGGGTTTACCGATCCTATCACGGACGTTGATGTCCCGCAGAGCGCTGAAGACGAGCAAGCCACCACCGTCCCGCGGGCAGACAGCCTCCCCGCGGTGCTGAGTCCAGGCCCCCCCTTTCTTGCATCGCGCGGCCGAATCTCGCGGCCACAGCGGAGCGGAACAAGTCCTCGTCCGGCGAGGGACTCTCTTGTTTCCCGAGCACGCGCCGAGCGTCTGGCCTCGACAGACAGTCGGCGGACTAAGCATAGCAGCGACCAGAATCGAAATGCCCCGGTCCCTTCGAGGGCGTTGATACCGGCGCCGCGAGCTGCCGCCCCATCTACGGCCTCCTCGCTGGCATTGCACATCCACGCCTGCACGTTCGACGGCCAGGTCTGCTCAAATACCACGTCGTCTGAAATCACAAATTGCGTCCTGTCCCGTACGATGAGCTACGTGATTCCCATCGCCACGGGCGACAAAGATGTCTCTGTCAGCGACGAGAGATGCCCAAGCGGAGGAAAGGATCCCCTCATGTTTGAACCGCAGGACGGCGTGGCCTCCAGATTAATGTACGATATATTTCGAGGGCTCCGTCGCGAACTGCCCAAGAGCTGTATCGGATACATCACGCGTTGCGCAATGCTCGAGTTTTCTGACACAGACAATGGGATAAGGGATCTCCTTGGGGGGGTCCCAGATCAGGATCTTGATTCTCCAGGGGAAGACCCCGCAAATGGCGGCCCACTGGTGACGGTAAAAGATTTTGACGAGCTGCTGTGCCGGGCCAATCGAGCTCGTCGATTTTGGCACCAAGAACGTGGTGCCACGGGGGAAATGGTCTGTGTTCTTGCCGTCGACGTGAGGTGGAAATCAAGAGCACGGCCTCTCATCACTGGCCGCTCGAAGGTGTCATTCATTGACGCTGTGGGAGTCTCGCCCGGGGGCGTGTGCGGAAGCGGCCTGGATGGCTTGCCACGTCCCAGTGGACGCAAGCTCGCTTCCCTTCTCGGCGAAATAGCCGTTGCTGAGCCGGGGGCCGTGGTCGAATACAGCCAAAACAAGGTCTGTTTCCCTCTGACGCCCCCTCTCTTCGTCGCGTGGCCGTCCGCTCACAAAGCATAGTGTACAGAAGCGCTTTTCCGATGTTTGCGACCGGGGACCGAGTTCGCCTACGTTCTGTGTTGCTCGCCTGACGCTGGTCTCCCTCGTCTCGCGGGTTCCAGGTCCTGGGGATTATGGCCGTCCGAGACATGAGGCCTGCGGCTTTGAAAGGTCACCGGGGTGTTCGGCGATGCTCTGGCATTTGAGGGGGCCAGGAGCGCGCGAGTGCACAGCGACTTTACACCGATTGACAGTGGATGGTAGGAGTTCACGACTACTTTGATTGGCGTGCGGGCTCGGATGGCTGGAAGATTGACTTCTCTTATCATACATATATCACCTTTCGGGGAAGGCACAATACTTCTCATTTGCTTTTTGCTCCTCTCTACTCTGGTGCTCCTGCACTGTGATTGAATTGGCCAGCCGAGTTGGGGGCAAGGCTCTGCCACTGTCCGTCTCACTAGGTTCTCCAGCAGGTCGGCCATGGTCCCTCGAGCGATCGGTAAGCCCCTCGGGGCTTTCGTTGCATCGCCATGATCCAAGCCCGCGGACAACAGCCCGAGGAATAAGACAATCACGTCGTTGGTCCGTGGCCTGTCCCGGAGGAGGTCCCCAATTTCCCGCAGTCCACGATGAGGGGTCGCCTGGCCAGAACGTCTGCCATACAGGTATATGTCCAGATTCGTCCATTTCTGTCCACCTCCGGTGGCCCACTCACTTTCAGTTTGGCGCACCTGGAGGGTATCTGTCTCCGGGAAAATGTATTTTACCGCTGCTCTCCTCCGCTCGGGACTACTTGCAGCCCTGCCTATATGGGACCAGAATTGGGAAAGGCTTGGGTTGAGCATTGTGGAGGGGACTACGTTGGAGTTACACGATGCGGTGATGGTTTCCCTACAACCTGGGATCCTCTTCGGAAAGCTGCAGGGGAGCGGTCAGCTGAGCAAGCGGCCATTGAAAGAATTTAAGAGGGTTGCTTCTCCCGACGAATGCTCGCCCCCCTGCGCACCGTACCTCCATTTGCAGAGAGACACCGCCATCCGAAGTTGTCACTACATCTACGGCACAGTCAGTTTTATCCGCTGATATTGCCTATCCTCATTCAAGATGCCCCCAAAGCGATCGGGAAAGGGAACCAACGAGAGCACCAGGCCCAAGAAACTGAGCAACAAGAAGCGCGAGGCAGAAATCAATCAGGCTCTATTCGACGTTGCATCGACCAGTCTCGAGGCAAACTTTCATGATCCCCTCAAATGGCGGGCTACGGACTGCAGAGATTTGTTGGCTACAGTCGAGCGTCGGATGAGCTCGGAGGAACACCTCAACGGACTGTGGGATGAGCTACTGCCGGTCATGGAGAAGGTTGCCGACGTGTTCGACCGCGGCGGAGACCACCCAGAGGACAGCAGACCTTGGAAGCTCGCGGAGATGGTCGGCAGTCGCTGGGTCAAGCTCATGTGGACCTGGCAAAAAGCATGTTCCCTGGGGGAGAATTACGAGGCGAAGAGACAGGATCGGCGTGCCGCGGCCGACGTGCAACGCCGTTTCCTGATGGCATTGACGAGATTGTTCGACAGACATCATGAAAGCGCGGGCCTCGAAACTCCGCGACTCTTCCTTTGTGACCAGGCCGGCGGGATACGCTGCAAGAAACAGGCGAACCGCGGTGAGGACGTCGAAAATGAGGACGACACAACCGAGACGGCGTCTGCCTGCAGCTCGAGAGCCGAAGAAGGCGACCTCGAGGCAGTGGAAATGAAAGCGCAGGAGAAGATGGCTTCGGAACCCCAACTTGATGGCTTTGTGAGTGTCGTGGCCAGCGAGGATAACTCTCAGTCCACTGGGGAGGGGTGGGATGTGCAGGGACAGGCGGCTGAAGGACTCGGCGAGGGGGCGGAAGAGCAGGAGGACGACGAAGACGAAGACGAAGGAGACGACGAAAACTGGCCGCGGATTCTCGCAAGCCGTCCCAAGCAATAACTGTGCAAGCGGTCCGGGCCGCGTGCAGAGTCGGGGGTTCGAGAAGGCGGTCAATTGCCGACGACACCTGGCTCTAGAGTCTGGCTGGAGTCTCGAGAAGGTGTTGGCTTGGAATGCTGCATGGAATGTGTCCTGTGCACGGCCACCTCAACGGACCAGACCTCCACTACACAACTCACGCCCGAATAGTGGCATGCAAAGATCCATGCTTTGTGTCTTGAATTTCTACTCTGTCCTCGCCGTCGTAGGCCTGTGGTTCATTGGCGATACTCAACGAGGTAGGAGATGTTTCACAAAAGTCCCAATACTTGCCCACTCACTCACGGGAGTGCTTGGAGAGAGGGGGGGAGGATTATCGAATTTGTTAGCAATGGAGTCATGTCGTGCGCCACGGCCGTGCGGTTGAGCAGACGGCGACAGTGTTGGACTCAGAACTGTCATCTTGATTACCTAAATGCAGAACATTCATCTGTCCTGCCTGAAGTTCTCGGTCTCTCTGTCCTTTCAGCGAGTTCCTCCTGTTTATGTAGACCTTTGGCCAGTGTCACGAAGACAGTTGTGAAACCTCTCCTGTCACAGCCATCCTTGCAGACATTGTCCTGTTACAGGCGGCGCTGTTGAGCGAACGACCACTGACACTGTCCTCGAACTCGATCTGTCACAGCGGCCTCTGCTAGACCCAGTGCCCTGGAGGCCAGCGCCACCTTCACTGACAGCGATGGCCATCGACTGACCGACAGCAAGACGATGGGGAAGGGCTGGGGTTCCCATCAGACTGACGAGCGGACGCGGGATACCTTGACTCGCCATGCCATACCTCCCTCCCGACAAAGGACGATGTCTGTTTAGCTGGACGTCATCGGCTGGACTTGGGGACTGACTTGGGAGTTGAAAAGTGCGCTGGAGTCCAATGGCCTGGCGCGAAGGCAAGTGCACACGACAAAATATCTACCCCAGTCGGGGGCTCTTTCATGGTATCTTACAGGCAGCCACTGCGATATAGCTTGTACACCCTGCTCCAGAGCTCAGGTTGCCACAGGTGGTGCTGTCTCTGGAGACCGTGCCGCCCGGAGGCATTCATCAGTTTTGGGTTTTTGCGCTTGTACCGGGTGGTCCTGGGCAAAACACGTGGAATCTCCATTTATAGAATTGGGACAAATTTCTACTGTTTTTTATAATTTTGCACATTTTCTAGTGGTAGTGCCCATTGATCACATTACGAGACGACAATTTAGCAGATATAGTATTATCTACTTCATTACAGAAACAAATGAGTAAAATTTACTAGAACTATAAAAAGCTCTTTTATTTATTAATGCAATATTAGTTTTTATATTATTAAATTTTACTCATTTGTTTCTGTAATGAAGTATATTATAGTAGATATAGCATTATCTACTTCATTACAGAAACAAATGAGTAAAATTTACTAGAACTATAAAAAGCTCTTTTATTTATTAATGCAATATTAGTTTTTATATTATTAAATTTTACTCATTTGTTTCTGTAATGAAGTATATTATAGTAGATATAGCATTATCTACTTCATTACAGAAATAGGATGAGGAAAATTTTTCATGATATTGTAACAAGGTAAAGTGGCTGTGCTGGGTGGCATGGGGGAATAGCGAGGGAGCGATTTGGCTGGTCACCTGTCAGGACGAAGAGGACGAGCATTCTGGCCGTGGCTGTGAGGGTGGAAGGCAGGAAGGGCCAGCTGAGCATGCAACAAGGAGCGCGAGAACAACAGACAGACAAGCATTCGAGAGGCAATCATGGCAGGCATACTGAACAGTTTACAGTGATGGCCGTGTGCCATTCTTTACGGTTTGATGAGAGTATTCCGTGGTTGTTGATACCGTCCACCTATTCCTGAGCACCCTCTGTGTCCTTTTCCCCTCGTCAACGTCGCCGCCGTGCTGGGCGCTCGTTGCCCTAGCCGCTGCCTCTCTGTGGGTGGTGGTGGTGGCGGCGCCGGCCAGAATGCCATTCTCGATTACTGGGTACCGACCTGCCGGGACAGGCCCCTGTGCGTCGTTGCACGTGCATGCCGAACCCTGCAGTGCTCCGTTGCAATGGAAAAACTAACATTGCATCAATAACGCAAAGAGCTTTTCATAGGACGAGAAAGTCAAGTGCAGGATTTGATCCTGTTACAACATCTATTGCAACCAGTGATACTGATTTTGGACTGACTCTTGCTATGGGTTTTGGATATGCTTCACTTGTCATGCGATTTTTACCAAATGTTTCAGAGACGGTAGCAACTGGATGAGAAGCACTACAGTAAAATCAAATCATGATCCACTTCACGAATCATGACTGAATCTCCGATCTCCACGGTCCCTGAGGCAAAACTTTCTGCAGGATATTACAACGTGAGATGGATGCCGCTTTTAGAAATGGCCGCCATGCCGTCATCGATACCCGAACACTTCTTGGCCACTGCCACAGCTCCGCCATCTCGGCCACAGTGCCGGGGCTCACGGTAATCGGATCCTGTTCTTCACCCACTTCGGCATGGTCGCGCGCAAGGGCTGGCACCGGAAGCCTGAAGCCGCGCAAGTCGCCAGCGTACCAGCGCTCGCAACACCTGATTGCCAGCAGCGGAAAGCTACAGACACTTCAACGAACCCTGAAGGAGCTGGGGTTGGACGTCCGCGGCGAGGCTGAAAAGGTTGGTCATCGTGAGCAGACACAACATCGTCTGCCTCGTGGTTCTCGGCGCACGTGCCGACCTTTTTCACCCACCTGCCCTCCATCTTGCGGCGTACTTAGCTGCGTCTCTCTATTGGTCTAGAAGTCGTCTGGGTGCCTCCTCAACCGTGTCTTGGGCGGCGAGAAGGCCTAATTGAGCGACCTCAAGGGTCAGGGGGTCGTCGAGGCCGGCCAACCACCAATCCGCGTATTCCTTGGGACCGCTGAGATCATGGGCCAGGGAATCACCACACTGCGTCGCGCAAACCGCCTATTCCTGATGAAACCCAACCCTGGCGCAGCCGTGGAGGCGCAGGTTGCGGATCGAGTACATCGAATTGGTACCCGGACTGACAGAGGTTGGTTCCATGATCGCTTGATCGATCTGGATTCGCGTGGCGAAATCGCCCTTGTTGAGGGCCAGCCGCTCCAAGTCGAGCAAATGCACCTCGCGGAGTTTGGAACCAGCCGGCATGATGGCTCTCTGATCGGAGACGACAAATCCAAGGACCCATGCGCTGGGGACTGATCCTGTCGAGACGACCTTGCGGAGAAAAAGGCCCTATCGGGAACAAAGCGGGTACCGGGTGGGGAATCATGGACACCAGATCCACGCCACGGGAATCATGTCTCACGTGATCCCAATTGCCAGGAGATGTGACTGTCAGAACTGCCAAGAGATGGAAAGACCGTCGAGACTAGTTCTCGGCCGAACGGCCCGGACTAGTCTCGGTACCCACAGTGTAAATTCCTCGACAGTATATAGTCGGACAGGCCCTGTGGCTCTGTTGTAATCCATCGTGTCCTCCATTGAGTCACAGAGACATTCGAACAATATGAGGATGAGACATTTGAGACGTGGAAGGAGACGGAGACGACGGATGAGCCTGACTAAACTCTTCGCGTGCGAATATGGCGTACCCGCCACGTCCGAGCAAGAGCTCTGAAGTTACTGGGGAGTCTCTCAGTTACTTGTTGTACGTGCCACCAGGGGGGAGACGTGGAGAAGCGAGTAGAGTCCAGACACAGGTAGTCTCTCCTGTCACCGTGCCTCTCTTCCAAAATTCTGGCTCCTTTTCCTTCACATCCCGCGGGAGTCGCCCCCATTCCCCATCGCTCTTTTCCGCCTTTGGCTCTTTCTGATGAGCCGACGCGACCGACGAGGTATCCGCGAAGGGGAAAACTTGCGGAGACGACGCATTGTTGGCGCGAAGGAGAGGATGGTGGCGTGACCCTGAGGTCAGAAGGTGGTGCGAGTGGCATGGGCTCAGGCCGGATAAACACTCCCCTACCTCAGATGCGGCCTGAGATTGTACGTGTTGAGGGGCGCCGTACATTGGCGCGGCTTCCAAGATCTTCGGGACGTCCTCCGCTGCTGACCCCTTGATGTGATGCTCAGTCGCCAGATCCCCCGGGCAGCAACAGGAGCTCCCACCTCACCCATGATTTGTGCGACCAAGGAGGACGCCGAACCCAAGGGCGCTCTCAACGCAGCACCTCCAAGGAACTGCGCATCCGAGGCGACCGGCTTGCCAGAGACTCTTGCATCATGGATTGGAGCGTTGAGATCATGCGCAACAAGACTCGAGATCCCCTCGGCAACTAGTACGAAGAGTCCCAGAAATCCAACCAACAGTGCGATTTGGAGTAAAAGAATCCGGCTCCGCTGCGGTGCGGGCAGTGAAAAGTTGAGCCTCTGCGCAAGGCGAGGCCAACCAACCGACCAAACAGCGCAATTTTGGAACCGGGTGGGAGAGTAAACTGCTCCCAAATTGACCTCCCGCCCGCCGGTACCCCGGAAGGCGTGCTCATCTACAGTAGCTCTCCAGGGTTCCTGTCTGCCGCCGCCCTCAGCTCTGAGAGTCCCCAATCCCTGCGAGACCGTCAGAGGACGGGTGGGGGAATCCGGCAACATGTCCGTCCCCAAGCGTGAGCGGTCCGACCCAGCAGGAAAACAGCATTTCCAGAGGCACATATGCCTGTCGGAATAGCGGCAATCAAAAGCCCCTCGGCAACCTTCAGACAAGCCAGGACGACGTCGTCTCTCACGGCGGCCGAGTGAGCCTCCCCAGGATGTTAGGGACGAGTTCACCGCAGGACTGGTCTCGTGTACCTTGGCCAGGAGTCCAGGACAGTTTCGTTGCAACTTCACCTCAGGGTCATCCGCTCCCCCGGCGGACGCTCGTTCGTGGGCCGTCGAGATTGTGACCGAGATTTTCACGACCACTAACACAACCTTTATTTGGGTCTGCATTTGTGGTTGGCGGGACAGTGGTGGCATCTGAGGGAGCATCTACTGCTGCCTCATTGGGCTGTGATGTCGACTCTTCTCTATCATGGTCGCCACCAGCGCGCGCTCGTGGCATGCATTGTCATGCTTCCCCTCCGAAACATTCTGCTAGGTGAGGCTGGCCCATCAGGTGTGCGGCGACCAAGGCGACAAGCCAACTTTGACGACAAAGGTCCAACTCTCCTGTGGGTCCCTCGTCGGGGGGATGCATATGCCTGAGCTTATTGCGACAGCACCGCTGAGTGCTCTGCTTCCTTTTGATAGCAGCCTTCTCCCCTACAGCTCCCACCCCTTCCACAAGCTCTACCGCGCTAGAATCAAGATTGCACGGTCTGGACATTGGGCAAAAACCAAAGACTACACTCCTCCCGCTCTGCTTCTTCGGGGAACTGAACGTGGTGCTGACGTATGACACTACAGACCCTCTGTGCCATCCGTAGGTCAGCCTTCTAACATGGACCCTTTCAACCACCTCTCACATTGCGGCATCACCATTACCGAGGATGGCTCTTTGGCGGCTACCGTGGAGACCGGGGCCCCGGAGGCGAAGGAGACCGAAGATTCAGAGGAAGCGCAGGACGCCCTAGGTCGGAAGAAACGCACAAGATTCACCCGCGAGGATGACGAAGAGCTGAAGCAGTGGATGACGAACGCGATGAAGGAAGGCATACCCATTACTGGGACAAAGGTTTTCGAGGACTTGGCCGCGGTGGTAAGTTCGCCACCAGCTTCGGGTGGAGACTGCTTCTTGATCTAACACCAGCGCAGAATGGCCGCCACTCTGCAGTGTCGTGGAATTGGCGATGGCTCCGCCAATTCCGATACCGTGCGGACCCTCAATCGACCACCTTCGGCCGTGTCCTCGAAGACGATCCTGGGCCTGAACCCATGACAGCCCCTCCAGGGCACATCCTTCCCGATCGTCCCCGGGATCCAAGCGGCTCTGGGGTCGAGGCTGCGAATGCTGACAGTCCTCCACACGCCGGCCCACGGACCGCTTACCTGCCCCGAGATCGGTGGGAGCATGATGGCTCTGCTATACCGCCTCCACATTTCCGCGCCTTGACACACCACTTACCCGACGGCAGAACAACCCGTGCGCACCTCAGAGCCGAATCCGAGAAGACGCTTCGGCAAATGTTACACCTCAACTCTTCGGCCGAGCTGGCCCGATGGCTCGTGCAAGACTGGGTTCTTGATGTCTATGTCGAGTACGACGCTGCTGTGCTCCAACCAGTTAGCGAGAGATTCGACGATCGGGGCCGGGAAATCCGGCGGTCGTGGTCCAAGTACACCATCAACAACGCAATGGAGGCACTCCGGCGCGTGAGCCCCAGATATCTACCCCGAGAAGTCGACAAGTCCGGCTGGAACCTGGACGACCATGACATCCGCTTCATAGTCCGCCTTGTTGCCGCCGGCCGCGCTCCTGGCCGCTGGTGGGAGTCACAAACTTTAGACAGTGACCTGCCGGATCTGTGTGCAACGGCGTACCGCCTTGCCGGCTGGTTGCGCTCGGTCCATCGACAGACGACAGCCCTGGCTGATCAAGGCCACCAGATGCACCGCGCGAGATGTTTTTGGTGGATGGAACACTTGAGACGTGCAAGCCGAGAAGCTGGGTCTCTGGTTGACCTTCCTGCTGGCCGAGGCTTGCCGCGAATGAGCGGCGCCTTCGGACCCGCTCGCTCAGGCCCCTCTGACACGCCAACAACTCTAATCCTCGACGGCACCGACGAAGAAAGCTGCTATTACACCGCGTCCGAAGGCGAGCAAAGCCAACCACGTCGTCACGCAGGCCCGCTTTCCGGCACAGACTCCTCTCGATCAGCCGAGACCGAACCGCGGGATCCAGACCTCCACGAGTGTTCAGATGGCGTCGACTCAGCCAATGACGACGAAGAGCATTCTTGTGGATCGGACTCGAGCTTCGGCGAAGCCAGCAACGGCGAGTCGTCCTTCGACTCTGCTTGTGCCGCCCTACGGTATCCAGAACCGGCACATCTCCCTCCACGGGTATCTCGGATAGAAATTCCTCAAGTACCCGCGTACCCAATCAGACTGGCGCCGCGCAAGGCGGCGACCGCGGACAAATTCGAGATATGGGGAACAGAGGTTGGCCGCAACCGCTTTCTACGCGAACAGCAAATTCTCCTGGCGTCCTGGGGGGTAACGCCATTGCAGACCAGCGCGTGCGTCCTCGTCCCAAACATGTGGTCGAACGCAGATCCCGAACGTCTCTTGGAGCGTTTCGACCTCCAGATGATGCCTCCCATCACGGCTCAACGCCTGGTACGTTGTTCCAATCCGTTCTGCACCTCTGGTGCCAAGTACTGAGTCTATTTCCAGGTTTTCACGATGAAGGGTCGCACGATGGCTTTTACGCGTGCCGCCGCTTGGTTCGCTGAGCCTCGACGTGGTATTGACATCGACAACTTTTTTGGTGACGGCCCGTACATGCCCATGCACGGCTCACACCGCTGTCACCATCCACATTGTGTCAATCCCACTCACGCCGTCTATGATCCGGCCCATGTCAACTGTGGTAGGGAGCGCTGTCGAAACGCTGCTCGAGAGTTTCGGCGGTATGGCTTCGACGTTCCCGCGTTCTGCGACAGGCACGACCCCCCGTGCCTGATGCAGCAAGCGGCTCTCACCACGCAAGAAGCGTACGTCATCCAATTCGTGAACCTTTGTCGAGCCAAAGAGAAGCCGCTCCCTTTCGAGGTTCCGCAGAAGCCTGTGAGCCATGAGTTCTCGTCGTTCGAAACCCAGCTCCCAGTGTCTTTCTGCTCCTCTTCTCCTTCAATGTCACCTCCAGACTTCGTCCGCGGTGCAGCCGACGCCAGCCTCCCTACTCAGCGGCCGCGAGGTCCTACATTCTACTGTTCCTTCTGCAAATCCCGGAGCTATAGATCTGTTGCCTCATATTGGGGCCACATCCGAGACGAACACGGCCTCGAGTCGACTTCCGAGCGACTTGACGAGATCCGCCGCGCCGGAGTTGTATGGCGGGCGCATCTCGAGGACCACAGACGGCGTGGACATGGAGTGAGCCTCAACGATCCGACTTGGGTAAAGCTACAACAAATCCAGGAGCCCAATTTCAGCTGGGGCGTGGTGGAATCTTGGAAGCTCCGGGCTTGGCGGGAAAGATAGCGGTCTTCAAGGGCTGTCACTTGCCAGGTGCCGGAAGGGGCTGAAGAAGCAATGGACCTACGATGGCTGCACCAAAAAGCGAAGGAAGCGGCTCCCAACCACCACATTTGGCGGATCAGGGTTCGCACACCAGGATCATGGCCAGCGTGCCGACATCACGTGATTTTGTAATGCCTCCGGTGCCCGATTGGCCGTGGATGCCCTGTTCACGCCTTTCCTCCCGCTCCCTGCATCGCCTCGTCACATGTAACAGGTCAAAGACGGTGCCCGGGAGCGAGAAGCACGCTATAGCGTGGCAAAGACACCGCGACCTGACGATCTACAACCGTATGGATTCGCCAAAGAAGTCTCCAGAGGCATGTAGTTGGTAATGACCTATTGGACTCCAAATGGTCATCTTGATTACGCAAAATGAATAACATTTATCTATCCTGCCTGATGTTCTCTGTCTCTCTGTCCCTTTAGCGAGTTTCTCCGGTTTCCATAGACATTTGGCCAGTGTCAGGAAGACAGTTGTGAAGCCTCTCCTGTCACGGCCATCCTTGCGGACCTTGTCCTGTTCCAGGCGGCGCTGTTGAGCAAACGGGCACTGACACTGCGCTGGAACTCGATCTGCCCCAGCGGCCTCTGCTAGACCAGTGCCTCGGCTGCCTGCACCTCCTCAACATGGCCCTTCCAATCTCATTTCGGTTGTGGAACAGATTCCCAGCAAGATTCAACTGATCAGAATCGCCGGCGTGACGGGCAACAAAGTTGAGCCTCCGACCACAAGATCACCCGCGCGGCCCATCCTACTCGACCTTGCTCACTCACAGGCCAGCCTGATCCGGTGTCGCTTGCTCAAGCATCCCTCGCTCGCGTGCCCGCCGGGGGGTGTTTCCCCAAGCAGAGCACACCCATTGACGCGCCCTGTGCTCCTCCTCAGCCAGTGGTCTCGCTTCTCCTCCTCTTTCTTGTACGGTGGGACACTACCTCGTCCTGAAGGTCTCGCGGTTGAAAGGTCTGCGGGTGAGCAAGTCCTGATCGTGTGGGGTTTTCCATCCGACGCTCTATGTCTTTGACACGACTGCGAACCGAGATGAGGATTTGGGTGGGGGAGTGTCCAGTTCGCCGATGAGATGTGCCACGTGCTTGACACGGGGGAGATGTGTACTTGTCACGCAAGGTGAGTGAATGCGGACCCTGGCTGGGAGGAGGTCTTGTCGTTGCAGTGTGCACCTTTGAGGGAAATGGCTGGCATTGAGAGAGCCAGGCGAAACCTCGAACGCCGAAGGAGAAGCCAATAGTCGCCATTCTCCAGCACCACACTGCCCAGTGATAGCATTGCCGTAGAACAACTGCAGATGACCGGAGCACAATGGGCACATATGCAGAGGAACACGAGCAGGACCACCGCTACATCGGTCTGCAGCCTTCTGAAGGTTTCTTGCGGTATCAGACAGTCTAGGTACTGTTGCATGGGCGACATCTCCCGCACGAGGGACACGATTTCTTGGGCGGCGTCGCAATCTTTGAGCACGGTCCGCAGATCGCCAGGAAGAGGGATAGCTGCCAATGTCTGCATTGCGAGCTCGATCGAAGGAAACTGGGACACCAGCCTCAGGACGTACTCAACAGCCCGCCAGACTTGGAGCAGGAAGATGAGGAGATAAGCCATTGCAGACGTTCAGCCAGGACGGGACAATCCTTGTGATCAGGCGTGACAAGTGTGGTGACTGTTCAGCGCCAACGTTAGAGGGCACGTGAGTTGTGTAAGGGGGAATTCATCGAAAGGCACGGCGGTGCTGAGGTGGTCCTTCCACAGCTATCAGACGCTTGAGGATCGGGGTTCGCAAAACATGTCACTCATCCCGCTGGGCGGCGAACAGCCACCCGCCAGTGTGTCGGATAGCTGTATGGTGTTCAACCAATATGCAGACAGTCTGCAAGACGGTTCCCCACTGCACTGGTCCCAAAGACCCACCCGCAACAGAAGGTTCGACTGTCCAGCCTCGTCTGACTAGACCGCATCATGTGGCCCGGGCAAAGATCTGTGGAGGAAGGCGGCCAGCGGCGCAGAGGAATTGGTTTGGAAAACTGGAAAAAAGAGCGGATCGATTTCGCTTCTGGGGGGGAGTCTGATATTTGGCAAGACGCGAAAGTGACGAGATTTCCCGCTGACATTGTAACAAGGCAAAGTGACTGTGTTGTGCTGGCAAGGGGGGGTAGCAGGAAGGCGATAGAGACTTTGAGGCAGGAATGAGCTACTGAGCATTAAAACAACAACAAGAACAGCAACAACAATAGTGACAACAGATACAGAATGGCTGCGAGCGTATCCCACCACTGCCGGTGTGCTTAACAATTTCCCGCGCTAACCGTGTATTCATTTTTGTAGTTTAAAGAGAGTATTCTATGGTTCCTTGACACCGCCTATCTATTCCTGAGTATCCCTTCTGTCCTTGTTTACCTCTCAACATCGCCGCCGTGCCAGACGCTCGTTACCCTCGCCACGGCCTCTCTGTAGGTGGTATTGTCTTGTCAGCACCGACCAGAAAGGCATTCTCGATTTCCAAGCTGCTTGATCGGCCTCTATGCATTGTTGCACGTGCACGCCCAACCCCGAAACGGGCCGTTACAATATTTGCCCATACTGCTTCTTATGTACGGCGCAGAGAACCGGCCGGGCGGCCCCGTCATGTGTACCTGTATTTTTGCACCGACGCCCCGTCTTCGTTGTCGCGCTGCAGTGTTGCTTCGCGCGCACCGAGGGGATTTCTGCCTTCGGTGACAATGTTCGCTGTCGGGCGGAAAAGTCTTGTTCTTGGGGAGTGGATGGAGCAGATTTCCTGTCGTGCAGACTGGGTTCATTCCGGCGACCAGACCAAAGCCACTCTTCCCACCAGTCCGGTGCTGCCATGTGGACCTCGATCACAAAACCGAGGATGCTGACCGCGATAGCCAAGAAGGCCAGAGCTGTGTCTATGAACATCTTCGCAACAGCACGGCCCATCTTGGAGTATTGTGGCGTGAGAAGCTGCTGGGACCTTCGGGCATCGCTGATGTTGGCATCGGAATCTCGGAAATGGGCGTTGCCGGCGAGAGACTGGCAAAAGGCAATGATGTTGTTGATGGCAAGTATGGTCCACAGGAGAGGGGAGTAGTGTTGAGGGTCTTGAGTTCGAGGCGGCATGGCGGATTAGAGGCTTGTTGAGAGCGTGAGCACCGAGGTCAGAGGAATCTAGGTAGGGCGACTGATCGAAACCGGTTTTCGCTCCTTGGACGCGGCCAGCGCTGTGCTTTTAAGCGAAGAGACCTGGGGACAATCTCAAAATCGCGAACAGCGTAGCCAGAGGCGATTGCTAAGATTTGTTGAGACGATGTTTCAGGAGACAGAGGACAGTGCAGTGTGGTTTTGGCAGAATTTGGATGGCATGGCTGCCCAAGAAACAGCAGCTTTATTGCTCTGCGGCGGCAAGCGATTGATGCCATGATGTCGCGGTACACCGGGTCGTGAACGCGGTGTTGATGCTCTCAGACTGACAGTGTCTCAATCAGCCCCCATGTACGTGTTTGAAGACGAGAGAACTCTGCGCCGGAGGGGTAGAGGGACCTTGACACAGGGGGGACCGGGAACCAGGAAACGCAGCGACTCACCTGATTCAGGTTCAGTTTTGTCTTGAATCTCAGCTGCGTCAAGGCAGCCCTGAAAATGATCTCTCCATCTCATCAAGAACTCGGTCGCCATGGGGTCTTTGATCTCACCCAGACAGCTGCTCGTTTGTTGGACGAAGTTTCGTGCACTTCCGGCAAATTTTATTGTCACGTCCTGCAGAACTTCGGCCTGGTGTTTGAATCGGAGTCTTTCTTCATTCAGACCATCAAGAACTGAAAGATTCTTTTTCACCTCCTCAAGCTCTTTCATGAGGGCCCTCTGGTCTCGGTCGGATTGCGCGGGGGGTAGCTTTCCCACTCCTCCATGCTCCTCCTTGGCGAGCTTCTGGGCCCTCCCGGATCGGTCAGGGCTCGGTGACGTGGCCGCCGCCTTTCGTTTCCGGGAGTAGGGCTTGGTGGGAGGTGGAAGAGGAACAATTCTTGGCATGGTGCTCGCTTTCAACTCGTCGACACAATCAGAATGGGTTCAGAGGAATGCTTTATCGTGGCGTCGATCAAGAATGGCCAGCGGCGTGACAGAGGTCAGTTCATAGGTATCTGCTGTCATCGCCTTAGCACCCTACCAGACGACGTGAACTCCTGGACCGCCCTTACCTCCCTCCTGATGTGGAGTTGCTTGGACTGCAAGAAGACGTGGGTGTGGAAGGAAGCACGGCTCAAGGTTGGCCACACCCCGCGTTGGAACTCTCACCAACGAGCGGGGTTCTGGCTCTGGGGAGAGGTATACTGCGTGCCCGTAACAGAGGTAAGTCAGTTCGCTGAGTGTTGCCAGCTCCCGGCCCAACGTACCCGCCCGGGGTCTCCACCCTGTGGTGTCACCACATGGCCGCCTCCCCCACCGAAGGAGGAATCCTCACCGTGGACACGCAATTTCGGCCGCCTGCGCCGCTAGTTCTTGGGGTTTGTCCTGAGTTCTCAGTTCCGCCGACCCGCGAAGCGCCACTCAAGTGGCCTCCCGAAACCTGCTTGGTCTGAGACGGAAGTTTCGCCACAGCCAGCCAGCCTCGTGGGCATTTTGACATTGCCCGTACGGAGATACCCGGGCAGGTCAAGTCGGTAGCTAGGAAAAGGTGTGGGCGCCGCCCAAAGACGACCTATCCTCCCTTCATAGGACCAGGGTCGTCGGATCCAGGTCACGTACGCCGGCAGAGTCAGGAACAGGTCAGTGACTTCAAGACCGTGTACATGACGAGATCCCGCAGACACGTCATGGCTCCTGTGTGCGCGGGCGAGAGCTTGCTCTGGGTGCGTCAACTACCGTGGACCTGCACACCGCTGCTTCGTACTGGGTTGGCCTCACCACGCGCACGACTGGCCAGCTGCCACCAGTGATCAGCTACTACCAGAACGCCGGCCACGTCCACATCTCAAGGGGGGGCGTCAATGCAGCCTGCCGATGACCGTCTCACGCCTCCAGCCCGACTGCCTTGGCCTTCAGGCCTCATGATTTATCAGGTTTGAACCGAGAAACTCTGTCTGAGTCGCTCAGTGGCGGAATGTGCAGATTTCGTGCACTGGCCCGCCCAAGTGCGGTCAAAGTACACTTTCAGATGGCGTCTGCGGCCATCTTTCAAAGTGGACCGTTTTGGGGGTAAGCGAGCCGAGATAGGCAACTCGTGCCGTGTGGGTCATCCTGGTGGGCCACTCCAGCCTTTGGCACATCAGTACCCAGTATCCCTGCGCGGCCCCCCCCCTCTGACAGAAGACGGTACCTGCGCACCCACCTTAACCGTCTTCGTATGCGCTCCCAGTGCGGCGGCTCAACAGTTCATGCACCCAATGTATCAACTTCGATCTATACGGGGAGCCGCCCGCAACGGTCCTCTCCCCCTCCTCTCGGTGCGACGAGGCGACACGCCCATGAGGTCGACCGTAATGGTCTCAAGAGACGATGTTACAGACACTGGAAGTAGGATCGCAAGCTGACCGCCACCCCACGAACGACAAAGACGATCGCAACAGGAAGGGCAGTGGGCGCTCTGCCTTGCAGCGGCCTCTTGCACCGAATGCGCGGAGCCGAAACCGTCTCAAACTCTGCCAGATGAGGGCTGTGGAGCTAGATCCAGCATTCTCGTCTGCAGTTGCTCACAAGGTCGGGATCTGAGAAAGTGACATTAAGTAAGGCTTCTGCCTCTTGTCCCAGCCGATTCGTAGCTCTCCTCCTTCAATTCACGCACATCCAACGACCATCCCTCTCCTTCAGCGATCAAACCATCAAACCAACTCATCAACCCACACAACATCATTCTCAACAGTACTTCTACGATGGAGCGAGAGACCATTCGAGCTTCAATGGCTGCCGTGTGTTTGCTGGTCCTCCCGTCGAACTCTGCTAATTTAATGGTACAGATAACCCAAGCGTTGACTGAAAAAGCCGTCACCACTGCAGAAATGATCACGGGCGCCGCGGTGAGCCACCATACCCGTACATTATCAGCACCAGCGCTAACAGGATTGCCAGTACCTCGCAGTCACCAAGACCTTCCACTACGTTTCTGATCGCTACATAGTCCTCTGCGATACGCTTGAAGAGATGGTGCTGAACACGATCGGAATCACAGCATTCTTCAAGATATTGCCGCTCTTGATCGCCTTCATTGCTCTTGCTCCTTGCCGTAGCCGTTCCACCTAGCTATGGAGGAGGCATTCATCCGGATTCAGAGACGGGATTCTACATGGGTGGTGGGCGTTGGGCGTTGTGTTGGGAGCTGAGGAAGACCGCATGTGAGACTAGATTTGAACTACTAGAGATATGATAAAAGTTGAGCTTGATTTGATCCGTGCCCACCCGCTAAAGGACGAGGCGCCACTCCGTCTGGCCCCGGTTTTGTTCTCTGCAAAGCTGGTGCGTATGCTACTGTACGGGTAGAGCGGCGCCGCGTCCGACTTGTAGAGGAGAGCCCAGTCCTGCCCGGTCCTCATACCTTTGTTGGACGTGCCACGTGCAGGACGTCATACTCAGAAACCACCAACTACCATTTCGTGACCTGAAGACTCAGTTTGTTGCCGCAGTCGCCGGTACTCATCATGGCCAAGGTCAAGAGCAGCGCTGGCCCTCGTCAAAACATGGCCGTGGCTGTAGCCCGGTTGCCCTCTGAACAAGAGGTCCGCGACGCTGGCAGGGAGTTCTTGCTTCGTGTTCTTGACCGTCCACCGTGGGCATCCGCGATCACCATGCCTGCGATCCCTCCTTCGCCCCAACCTCGTGCTCGAGGCTCACTCCGAACCCATCGCTTCAACGGGCGCTACGGCACCCCTCGAGCTCAAGTCTCGCTGCAAATGTGGATGACCAGCCTCGTCTGTCTCCTGGTGATCACGATGTTGCATTTCGGCGGAACTCACATTTGGGTGCATTTCGGCGGGAGACTGGCCTGCAGTCGTCAGGGCCCCATCGTCATCGACCACGTCCATCCCACTGGCCAGGTCATTCGCATGCAAGAATTTGCCCGTCACGCTGCCCGAGCTTTGAGCCAGGCACCAGATCCGGGCTTGGTGTACAGTCCGGAGATGCACGACGCCTTTGACACGTTCAAAGACGCGCTGGGTGAGGTGTGCCGCTTGGCAGAACTCAGCGCGCAACACACCGCAGGCTCCATGGCGTGCTCCATCAAGATCTTCAGCCGCCAACACGGGCTGCAGTACCTTGTTCAGCTGAATGCGAGCCTCGAAAAGGGGTTGGCCCGCACCAGGTCCCTACAGATCATGTTATCACGCGCCATCCAAGCCCAGCTTCGGATCCGTCACAACCTCAACAGCACCCTCGGCCTCGTCACCGAAGAGAGGAGCAAGCTGCACAAGGACCTCTCGCAGAAAGTCTGGAACCTCAAACCGGGCGGGTCCCTGGGTGGTAGAGAGACCAGAAGGAGGAACGGCAAAGAACAGCGGGAAAAGATCCTCGAAATGCAGGAGAACGTGCTCGCCATGACGCTTGAAGATCTTGCCGACCTCGAAGGGACCCTTTGGCAGCTGGAGCTCCACACGAAACGCCATCACGACGCACTTCTCCAGATTCAGAGCGCAACCCTATGTTCCAAAAGCTCGGCCTCTCCCTCCGCCGCCAGTGGGAGGGACGTCCATGATCCATTTCTGACAGCCAAGGTGGAAGGGTGGTTTCTGGGCCCCATGACGGCCGCCTTCGAAACACACTACCAGCGGCTGACGCCCTCCATTTGGCTTACGATTTCCACCCAGTCTTGGGCTTCACCGTGAGCGCATGTCCTGCACCCCTCTAGCCGCCGGCGCGAGAAGAGTGGTCGCAACAGAAGTCTTGCTGCATTTCCGACCTCATTCGATGAAGGCTACCCGATCGCAGAGAGTCTGTACTGTAACATGGCAAAGTGGCCCTGTTGTGCTGGCATGGGCGGAGGACGACGACGATTGGGCTAGTCACATGTCAGGACAAAAAGGACCAGCATCATTTCGGGCCGTGGACGAAGGCTTCAAGGCAGGAAGACGCTCATGAGTATGAAAACATCAACAAGACGGCATAACAACAGTTAACAGCACTCACAGAATGACTGTGTTAGTATGTCATCATTGTCAATGTGCTTAAAAGCTTATCGTGCTGGCGGCGCGCCATTCTCTACAGTTTGAACGGAGTATTCTGTGATCTTTTTGACATCGCCTACCTATTCTTGAGCATTCCTTTTGTCCTTTATCACTCCTCAACGGAGCACTTCTGGCTAACCCTGCACGTGCAACAACGCGCAGGGGCCTGTTTGGCAGGTCGGTGATCGAGAACGCCTTTCTGGCCGAATGCTGGCAAAGCAACACCACCACAAACACCACCCAAGAGAGGCGGCGGCTAGGGTAACGAGTGCCTAGCACAGTAGGGGCGTCAAGGAGCGGAAAAGAACACAGAGAATACTTCGGAACAGGTAGACGGTATCAAAACCATAGAATACTCGCATCAAACTGTAAAGAATGGCACAACGGTCAGCACTGCAAGCTTCAGTGTGGCGGAACGGTCCCACGGCTACAACGGCCATGCCAGAAAGAGGTTTAGGAGTCCGCGTTCTTCCTTGGCCACCAGTCTCTGCCAAGACAGGATCCTTGTCGTGAACGCTGTGAATGAAACGGCTTGCTTCTTCTCCCTAGTGTGTCCGTCGCAACCTGCCTCGAGGACGGTCGGAGCGCGGCGTACCCAAGGTCCCTACCCTCACTCCAGAAAGGCACCTTCCCCCCCCCCCCAATCTCTGTCCTCATAGCTCCTTGCCGTAATAGTCGTCCGAGTCTTCTTCTCCGCTGCTCTCCTCAGCGCTGGCAATGGCCGGCCGCCGCGCGAATTTCTTCGTCAACGGGCTATCCTCTGCCTCCTCATCCCGCGGGTGCTTCTTGGGGGTCTTGAAGCCAGCGTTGGCTGTCAACGCTTCTCCGTCAGTGTCGGCACGAGACGGCGTCAGTGATGGAAACTCACCCTCCTGCAACATCTCCTTCAGCTCACGCACGCCACTTTGAAGTTTTTCGTACTGCTCTTTGAGGTGCTCTTGCTCTTTTGCTGCCGCAGGGTCGATCTGCATGTTCCCAATCTTCTCGAGTTCGTCGCTCTCCAGGCCAATGACAAGGTTCCAGTCAAAGGACTTGACAAGCTTTTGAAGGACCAGACTGTCCATGCTAGGGAAGTCAATGACAGGGAGTGCCTGACTTTTGAGGATACACTGTATCGAGATTTGTGTCAGCGCTGTGCGGCTATGTGTTGACATTTGACGTACCTCATAATGCATCTCGGCGCACTCTAGGGCCTCGGCGAGGGCGAGTTGCGAGCCGAAAGTGTCTGGTGGCATGTCAAGCAATCTCTCCTCGAGCAAGGACTGCCGCGAGTCCCGTCGATGGCGACTCGTGGCAGTGGAATCAGTGAGCAATTCTGACATGAGATGCGACATGTACCTCGCCCTGCCACGGCGGATGCCGTCCTTGAGGAGATCCCGAGTGAGGGCTGGTGAGTTGGTGGTGTGCTTCTTGACCAGGTCGCAGAGGTGGCTCTCGAGTTCATCCGCGAGACGACGTAAGACTGGGTCGACCAACTCTCTGAGAAATCCAGGCGCAAGGTCCGCACCGAGGAGATGAGCGGCTGCCAACTTCATGAAGTCGGTGAGGACGTCGAGGAGGTCACGCACCAAGTCTCTGAAGATGGAAGACCACTCGGCCACGAGTTTGTGGAAGAGGTCCTCGGTGACGGCGGGGTTATACTGCCCTGGAAGCCCTCCGCCGAGCGAAAGCATTTCCATGGCCTGACCAAGAGGGTCCGCTTCACCCGCGCCGCGCTTGTCCGTACGCGATGCCGCGAAGTTGACCGTGTTCCCTAAAGGCTTGGCGTCTTTGAGGTGGGTTCGAAGGCGACTCTTGTACGAATCGATGAGACCTAGGATCTCGTCGTGGAGTAGGGCCTGGTGCGCCCGCGGTGATTGTTGAAAGAACTCGTGCTGGTACTGACCGGCAATCGCGTCTCGGATCAATGTATTGAGTGGCGTGATTGCCTTGAGGAGGGCCGTCTTCGTGAGATGAGGGGGAGGTCTCATGGCCACGTTCGATATCTGTCTCTTGATCTTGTTTTGTTCCTCCTCCATCTCAGCTGTGATCGGTAGGAGTTGGCTCAGAACATCTTCGTGGTAGATTTGGATCAGCCTACTTCGTAGCCGCCCCACGCCCTTTTGTTCCTTCGGAACCGAAGACCAATTCTTGCCCCGGAGGTATTTCGCCTCCATCTCGTCTCGATCATCGGCACTGAGCTGTTTCTGCTCTCCATTCCGATTCCGGATGATGAACCAACCCAGCTGGCAGTGGTAGACTTCGTTGTTCAGAATCTGCAGAAACACCTCTCGCTGGTGGTCGCGCGTACTGCCGTCGAGTTCATCGGGCTTTGTGACCACACCAATGACCCGGCATCCGTCATTTCTCTCCTCCTTTGCCATCTGCGTGATGATTTGGTTCGCGGGCTCGTTGCCTCCGGAGACGATGGTCAGGATGATGGCCCGCGGGAGTCGTAGGTAGTTGCGCACCAATTGGTCCACCGCAGCCTTGTCCTCGAGGGTCTGGCCCGGGGCTTTGTTGTGAAACACCCCCGGCAGATCAACAAGGCTCAAATTGAAGAGATCCGATCCTCTGAATTGAAGGCGCAAGATGTCCGAGCAGATGGTCGACGGGTTGATCTTGGACATGTAGAACTGGGCCTCATCGATGATTTGTCCGAGTGAATCGACGTCTGTGACCGTGGGCCGAAATCTACGGAGGTGTTCGATGTCGGAGGCGGTGCGATCTGGGCCGGGGTCGATGCACGCATGCAGTGACGAATCCGGGGCTCTTCTCACTTCAAGTTCTGTTGCGAAACGGGTACAGAGTCCATCTTTGACCGGAAACTTCAGCCCTGTCAGGCTCTCAAGAAGAGAGCTCTTTCCGGAATTCTGTTGGCCACAGACGACGATCTTCGGGAGGTCAATTACGTTGGCCAGTCCCGTGTCTTTGAGAGAGTCCAGAATCGAAAGTATTCTTGCCAGTCGCTCTGTCTTGAGGCTCCGGTCCGGTGAATCCATGGTGGCCGATGAAGGGCGGGAGACGGAATGGAAGAAGCTGGAATGGTAGAACTCTGGTTCAGAAAGAGATCTAGAGCTTGTTGGTTTTGGAGAGAGATGTCAAAACGGTTTAAGAAGCCCAGCTAGGGGATAAAAAGGCAAGGAAAGCGAGCTTGTTTGGTAGGACGCGCAAACATGGCGGCCAAGCAAACTGGCAAAGACCGCTTGCGAGCACCATTGTGTGTCCATGGTTCTCGTCGCCGGTCTCAGCGTCAGTGTGTTGGAGCCCAGCATCATTGTCTCCTACCGACGGGGCCATGCGTCAGACGGGAGCAATCTGCTTCCAGAGCAATCCCGCGAGCATTTGCCTATCCCAAGAACAAAGCCACAATCAGCTTTCTCATGCCTCCGCGTATGTCGGGGGGCGCATGGACGTTGTAAGGGGACTCACCCCGCGCTGCAGCGTCGGCTTCCTACCATCGCTGTGAGCTTTTTGCAATGCCGGTGAGTGGACGTCGTCGGGGGTATACATTTTTTCCGGTCGGCCAAATCATATGGTGGGAGGGAGAGATGCCTGATCGGTTCGCTGATGGAGCTGAGCAGTCATACGGCCGGCCGGTAGGTGCAAAGTGCAAAGTGCAATGGTCAACTGTTTGACTGTTGCCGGGCTGCCAAGGCCCGTGGCGGTCATGTGCGAGCCGCCCATGGCAATGGGATTGACAGGAAGACGTTCGACAAGCGTCGACAGCCGCTGTCTTACCCTGTGAAATTGACCTGATGGTCTCTAGTCAGACAGGTCCTCGATGGCCGGTGGAATCCATCATGTCCCTTGTGTTGATTCACGGCAACTTTTCGCCATGGCACCCACGCAGTGCGGCGCAGGTCACCAACTCAATCATCCACCTCGATCATGATTCCCTTGTTGGGTTCCATAGTAGGTCGAGATAAGAGAGGCCTACGCTGTAAAGTATTCCTGTACCCAAGTATCACAGTGGAGCTCGATCCCGACCGTCTGTGATTCGCAAACTTCGACTTCGATCAACCAAGTCTTGTTGGAAAGGTGAGTTCGACTTGAACCGTTTAGTGTAAATGTCCCATGACAAGGTGAAGTGACTGGATTGTGCTAACATAGGGGCAGTAGGTCGGCAATTTAGCTAATCACATATTAGAGCAAAAAGAATTAGTATTAATTTAGCTGTGAACGACGACTTTAGCACAGAAGGGAGCTACCAACTATTCAAGTGACAGGAGAAATGAGAATAGTTATAGTAGTTGTAGAATAACTGTACGAGTAAGTCACCGTTGTCGGTATGTTTAATAATTTATAGCCCTAGCCGTGGACCATTCTTTGCAGTTTGAATAGAGTATTCTGTAGTCTTTCAATACCGCCTGTCTATTTCTGAGCATTTCTCTTATTCTTTTCTCCTCCCCACTGCAGTCGCCGTAGCAAGCTCTTGTTGCCCTAGTTGCCGCCTCTCTGTGAGTAGTGTTGGTGGTGGTGTTATCTTGCCAGCGTCGATCGGAAAGGTATTCTCGATCTTCGATCTATCTGATAGGTCTCTGTGCGTTGTTACACGTGTATACTAAACCCCGAAGTGCTCCGTACCGTATGACGAAGGAGAGTAACGTTACCTTTCCTAGCCCTATATAGGCGGCGAGCGTCATGCCACGACGATCCGTTCTTCTGGAAGTAGAAAAAAAAAAAAAAAAAAGGCGCCGTACAGTTGAAACAGAAAAAAGGCTCCGTGTGAATACAATGACGTGGATATAAGGCACCGTGCGCTTAAGGCCTACTTCGATACAAGGGTCAGATATGACAAATTGTATGGCTGCATCTTGGATATCCGGATCAAAATTGTTCACAAGTTGTATGATATGGGAGCGCCTGCGGCTGCACATCGACCATCTTCTCTACCCTTTGAGCGGGAACTTGGCCCTACCCACCGATTCCGAGATCCTGTAAACGATATTTTTCTGGAATGCTTGGAGCGGAATTCGAGGGGGCGAGAATCGTGCGGAGTTCGGCAGCTGTCAGAGGTGCCTTTCGCCCCGGCACGCTGACCAAGAGTTCGTCTGTGCCCAGGATGGCGGTTCATTGGGAGCTCGACGTCCGGTGAAAATATTTCAGCAAGCTCAACGTGATTTTTGGACGTGGCCATCTGCGAAAGCCACCCAGCGACGGTTGGACAAGCTCAGGAAAGTATGGGGATACCTATGTTCGTCGATGCGCCCTGTCGGTCGAGTCCTTCCCCGGCCACTTGTACCGGCGGACTTCCCATGGCATCAGCACCGGGTGGGAAAGGGCGGAGCGACACGTTGGAGAATATTGTTGGTGTGGAGGACCCCACCGCCACTCCTCGAAATCGCTTTCCTGCCTGTTAGAGTAGGAAAGGAGTCGGGAAAGGAGGGGACGGGATTAAAGCTGAAGTCAATCCTCATGGCAGCCAAACACAGAACAGACCACCGAACGGGAGAAGAGAATATGGAGCCTCCATCTGCATATTCCCTCCGCCAGCTACCTGTTTGCTGTTGCCGTATAGCCCCCAAACCGAGCAGACCGTTTTCACTTCGGCCAGAGTCAAAGCTGCTGGTCGGCTGTCCCGGGCACCCACCCTGTCTGTCGTGCGCTTTGGCGGGGCTGAGGTAATGGTCTGCATATCACCACAACCAGGCTGAAAGGCGGCGGCTTTGTGCGGGCTTCTCCAGTTGTGCTGCACGCCGCATCAGCGTATTTCTGGGCGACCAGTAGAGTCGCACTGCGTTGCTGTTCTTGGGATGGTATATGCAGGCCTTCCGCAGAGCGAACGAAGCGAGCTCAGGGAACACCAGTTCTGCGTGCTCACAAACCTGGGGGGTTTCCTCGGAATGTCCACGTATCGGCAAAGAAAGAAAATTGTCAGGCAGCGTGTGCAGGAGCGTAAACTTTGATGCCACTATTCTCCTTTGACTACCGACGACGATCGTAGAGGTGGACGTCGTAGAGGCGTTCGAGGGTACTCGGATTGTAGGTTTGAGAATGTGTCCGTCCAGTTTTGGCCCGACACCTGAGGAGTGTAGCATCAAAGGTCACCACGGCACATCTCGGCCTCGGAGAGAGTGCAGCCCTTTATCGAGTCTAAGATCCCGACGTGTCTCGTCCTTCCGAAGCCCTCGTGGTTGTTGACGCCGCAGCCTGAGGAATGACAGAGAAGCGAAAAGCCCCTCAAGGGGCACTTGGCTCGGTCCATGGGCGGCTTCGTTTGCCTCTTTCAAGAAGAGCGGCTGATCGGTATCGTATACCCGTTGTGCGCATTGGTAGATAGGACGCATTATGGTAACCTGGAGCAATTGAAACACGGCTGAACCTACTTCTGTGGGCGAACCCGTATCCTCAACAGGAAGACTCCCGAGTTTTCCCTCCAGCCTATCCAGAGAACTTGTGAGGAATGCGAAAGATCTCGTTGCTTACGACTATTTGGTGGCGTCGACGCTTTTGGCGGAGCAGAACATTGGGGTTCAATCCCGGAAGATGGTGCCATTGAAAGTCCGCTCTGGAGTTTATGGAATTCTTCGCCGAGTCGCCTACATATTCTGCCGTTTCGTCGGAGATTTTTATTGGCGGTGCCAATTCTGATTCCACACTGCCTCGGTCCTCATCACTGGTGCTCAAGATACCATCCCATGCGAAAATGACTGTCCCCCGGTCTGTCCCCCGGTCTGTCCCCCGCACTCTGCCGAGCATCAAAATTCTTCCCCAAATCCCAAGTTTGCTCCTCCAGTCAGAAAATCGTACCGCTTTCACCTCAAGCGTCGTACAATTAGACGGAATCCCGGTTGAGATCGACTGTGTTCATCAGCTTATTCAGTCTGCGGTCGATCATGTTGAAGGTGTATGGGTTCTCTTCGGCAATCGCCCCCAAAATCTCGCGGGTGATGACCTGATGGAGCCCGATAGCTTGAGGCTGCCTCTGAATCAACCATGTGTGGTATGAAACACGCTGCAAGGAGGGCGAGGTGGCTTGTTCTTCACTGAAAGTCGAGTGGCTGGTGACGAAGAGGTCATAGGCTTGATCTGACAGCGGATATCCATGATCTAGTGCCACCGACAGGTATGCACACAGCCCAGTGAGTTGTTTGATAGAGATCATGAGACGATACTGACGCTGCAGCCGGCGGAGGGTTTTGAAGGTCGCCGGGGCACTGCTTGTTGTCACCCGGCGCTTCTTCTCGAAAGGAGTTGTCGTGGGCGATCGCGATGGCGCCCGCTTTCTGTTTCTGTCTTCCGCACGGTCTCCACGGCCATGTTCGTTCTGGTTCCTGTTCATCCGTCAGCTACGGCTGGGCCGTGGTCGAGGGTTCCAAAATGGTACCTTACATGTTCGTGTCAGCTCGGCCGAACTGGCGGTCTTGCAACTCCCTGCTGCACACGCCGGATGCCTGCGATCCTCTCCCAAATTTGCAGGGTCATGTCGGACAGAAGCACCAACTGGTCGGGAGTACAGGTATATAGCGTCACGAGAGCAGTTTGTTCCCCGTGTTGACGAACAGTTGACGATCGCGGGCCATGCGTGTCTCAGCCGGGCAAAGAGGCGATGGGCGCTATGGAAACTGCATAACATCCGACGTCAACTTCTCTGCAACGTCTATCTCAGCAACAATGACAGGAATTCAGGGATCCACCTTTCCAACAATGAGATTCATCAGCTAGCCGAAACCGCCTTAGTCCTTGCGTCATCTTGTGCTTATGCCTGCCGGCAACAAAAGAACAAAGAAGTCGGTCAATTTGTCTGACGCCAAAAATTTCTCCAAGCTTTCACCGCAGCGCGTTTGTTTTGGAATCAACATTGGGACATTCATCATATGATCAACACATGAGGGCTTGGGCGTACGTAGTCGAAAGAGTCAATCGTGCTTTGGTGTATTGGAGCAACGTAGCACAAATTACACGTCTATGGAGGACACGCCCATCCCCCCTGGCATCGGGTAGCTCTTCGGAGTCAACGGTGGTGTTAGTTGTGCATCTTGATTCTGAATCCTTGTCAAGCCCTAGATAGTCACATAATCCGATTAGTCTTGGACTTTGAATGCGATCCGTGTCTAGGGGACGTTGTTCATAACACTTCGATTCTGGCGGAAAACAGCTACACCAACCCCCACGACTGTAGTCAAGGCTACCTGGCTAGCCGATGCCAGATTTATACCCCAGCCGCAGCCTACAGCCACAGATGCAGACTACACGGTTTATCTCGTGGGAGCCATGGGTAATTGGTTTCACTGCTGGACGTCAACTCGGACCTCCGTTCACGTGCGATCCTCAGCACCGCAGGGCTAACGGCTCGGCACCCACGGCTACTAAACCAGCGCCTTCCGGTGAACGAGGAAGCCCTCGATGAGACACCCACGAGTTCTGCCGTCTGATGTCCGGTCTGCCCCCACCCCTCTGGGCAAGGAAGCGGGAGAAAACGTCAGTTGATGCTGACGGGACGACTGTGGTTTGCTATGGGCAGGTGAGATGGTGTACCCATGCCGTGGCTGTCCACTGCTCATTGCCCAGATAACGAATGCTTTCGCAAGGCTCTTTCCGTGCTCACAACGCCCATCTGCCCGGCGAGATGAACCTATACGGTCCAGCCTATCACGTCCAGCCAGTTGGGATTTCTCTTGGAGATGCCAATCTCTTTTTGTAAGAGCCAAGCGTGCCTACCTCCATCTGTCTCGTAGTACAACCCGCATGTATATTCCATAATCGAGAAGCCCCACCCCCCTTTCTTGATCAACCAGCAGTCACAGGAAGACAACCATTTCGACCAAGAGATCAAAAAATATACTGTCTCAGACACATGGCAATAGACCATGCTCTATGATTGAACAAGGTTCGAGAATCAAAACGCCCCTATAACCGTCAGACCTCCTCTGGAGCAGGCGTTCGCTGCTAATCCCAGCCTGTACTCATCAGATTGCTGCATTGGAATTTATGTGCCGCCGAGAGGATGTGGATAGGAAATCTGTCGGCCCAACCATGTGGAAGCGACACAGAATCAACAGTGAATTTAGGCAAGAATCATGCCCGAAGATCGGCGAGATAAAGTTATGTTCTCACGCCGTATCCTGTGTAGGTATGTCCACCAGTTGACACGGGAGAAAAAAGACACGCCGGTGGACGAGTGCGTGGGATGCTTATTGGCAGGTGAGATGGGACTGGGGAAGTCGCTCTCTTTGTTGGCTCTCATAGCCAGACCTTGGAAGAGTCTCGACGCTTCATGGTCGATTCTGAGGCTGTATCTCCGCATCGACACCCAGGAGTTGGAGCCACTCTCGTCGTCACACCTTGTCCAAGGACGAGTTTCAGAATCCTGCGACGAAGCTTCCTGGCAGGGCGCATCTCTACGTAACTAGCAAGATGGCATCTCCAAGTATGTCCAAGGTTAAATTCGGGGGAAACACCCGGCTCCTGACTTCGCCTCCTATCCACATCGACGCGCGCGTTTTGGGCCTCTACGTCTACCATGGCCAAGCAACATCTCGGTTGCATTCGGACCTGGAGACTACACGAACTGTGCTGACAGCCTATAAGACCAGCGCACTGGGACAGAGGTCATCATCTGGTCACCTGGGCCAGTATTCATGGTTCCAAATCGCTCTCGACGAAGCCCATTGGACCCACAACGCGTCTACTCAAGTCCTCCCAATTTTGCATGAGTTTGAAGCACAGAGGAGATAGTGTTTGACCGGCGCACCTGTTGAAAATGGCTCAAGCGACCTTTGCGCCCTTGCTTGTTGGCTCTGGTTCCACCCCTTCGATGCGAACCGTGGTTTTAGAAAGTTCAGCACGGATCCCCTTTCCAAGCGCAGTGAGGCCGGTCTTTCAAATCCTCGCCAAATGACCAGGATGTTCCAGATTCGCCGCCGAAAGAGGGCATGAACCTAGGCCGTATCACGCTACAAACGATCAATGTCTCATTCCCCAGTTAAGAACGCAACCAATATGGGACGCTGAAGGCTAGGATCTTGCAAACCTTGGCTGGTGCCTCCGAGGCAAAAAGGGTAGGCCGACCGAGGCCTGTCCTTCAAGGCATTTGGAAACTATGAAGATTCTGCTGCAATGGTGTCCCTTTGCAAAACCTCGTCGCCCGCCACCTTGCCGATATCACAACCTGGAGTTCCAACATAACCTACAATCCGCGTGGTCGGACCGTCACCAGAGTGGCGTGGACATCCGTCTGCCACGGGCAATGCGGCCATGTGCTCTGCGATGTCCGTTGTGCCAGCTCTTCAATTCTCGGCGCCGAAGAGGGAGCTGAAGAAGTATGCTGTCCCTTTTGTGGAGCTGTAGAGGAAGAGCCACTCCATGGAGGCGATTTGGGCGTCACAAGTGCACATGACGACCAGGCCGCCCCCCCTTTCCCGCCAGTGCCGGGCACAGAGGATTCCATTCTCGCAAAGACCGCTACCGTGATATCGTGACGGAGCACTTCATGGTTTAACATGCACGTGCAACAATGCACAGAGGTATATCAGACAGGTCGAAAATCGAGAACGCTTTTCTAATCGACATCGACAACAACAACAACAACAATAACAACAATAATAATATTGCCGTCTATAGAGAGATAGCGACTCGGATAATGAGCATCTACTACGGCGACGGCGTTGAAAAATGAAACAGGATAGAAAGAATACTCAGAAAGAGATAGGCGATATTAGACAACTATAGAATACTTCGTTAACATCATAAAGGGTAGTACGCGATTAGCACTATAAATTATTAAGTTCTTTAATAACGATAGTATACTAATATAGTAGTTCTATCCCTATTACAACTATTATTATACTCTCTTGTTACTCAAATACATAGTAGCTCCATTCTATCTTATAGTCTCTGGTCCACAGCCAAAATAATGCTGGTTCTTTTTTGTCTGGATATGTGACCAGCTACATGGCCTTTCTGCTACCTCTATGTCAGCACAACATAGCCACGTTGCCTTGTTACAATATCGAAACTATTAGTGCTGCACTAGGGGTCATTAGGCTTTGAAGGTAAGAGGTGAGTGGCGGTTCCTGGAGCAGACGGTGCCTGCTGACATACAGTAATTGACAGCAGTGTTTTCTCGTACTGGAAACACACACGAGCATCACTGGAAAACCACCTCCAACAGCACAGCATTTTGCTGCGTTCGGTTCCACGGCGAGCACTCGCCCGATGAACGTGCGCGAGCTCTGTCTGCGTTCTTCCAGGCGAACCCCGAAGTCCGAGTAAATGCTTCTCACATTTGGGACTGGCTCTGTGGGCCTCGTTTGCACGGAGGCCACATATGTCCATCTCGTAGAGCCACATTGGAATGCCATGGTGGAGGGAAGGGTCATCGCGCGTGCGCATCGAACTGGGCAAGACAAGCCAGTGACGGTGTGGAGGTGTGTGGTGGAGAACTGTGTTGAGGAAAGTATCGTGCGGAAGCAGAAACGGAAGCTATGCTTGACCAACACTGCGCACTCCAGGCAGGAGATGGAGCCTGGGATTGCTGGTACCAAGGGCGGGCGCGCAAAGCAAGACGACGAGGAGTTGGAAGACCTGCCGGGAGAGGGTCACCTCATCCGAGGATAGCTTGACAGTATACGTCCACTGATGAGGTTTCCACGACCGTGCAAGTCAGGGCTCTAACGTTAAGAGAGAGATATCGAACCATGAGAGACGGTCGAACAAGGGGTATGGACTATTGACACTATTCCATTGTTGGCAATATTCTTTCTGTGTCTGTGTATCTGACTTCGAACAACGATTTAAGGCTCGTGGATTCTATAAACTGTGAGGATAAAAATCTATATCGCGATGGGATTTCCGACGCTCGTTTCGAGCGCCGGCCGATCCAATGACTTCTGGGCCTCGTTCATCGGTAGCTACTGTATAGCATATCGTGTATGGCTCGATAGGCGCTAGAAGCAGTACTGGGTACACACGGAGCACTTCGATTTCCGCCGTAGAAGTGCTGCGAGTCTGCAGCTGGTACCGAGTACACAAGAACATGGGGAAACTGCTGTTAATCCAGCCGCTAACCCAACTAGGGAGGATGAAGTGTTCGATAGAGGACTATTAATAATAGGATTTGGTGGGCCAGTGGCTACAAGTGGCCATAAGCGGTTAGGCTCCTGTGTCGTCAACACCAAAGCTCGCAAGCCCCTCAAACCCTACCGAGTACACCGTAATACTCCGCACAATCTGACGAGAGGACTGGGCCGCTCACTCACTCCTCGATCTGCAACCATCTCACTCCCACCGTCGGGACACACTCTTGTCGTGCTCTCTTATCTGCGTTTCCCTCCTTCACACCCTCAGACACGACCTCCTCCTCCTGGTCCCATGGCATCACAAACACGCAGCGTTCCTCAGCCTCGCCTGTCCCGTCATCCCTGACGACTTCGCGAATACAGCCTTCCCACTGGTCGCGGACCTGGTCCCACAGCTTCCTCACCTCGTCGTCCCGTCGGCGCAGCAGCTCCTCGATGCGCTGTTCGTGGTGCGTGATCTCCGCTTTCTGCCTGGTCTGCACGTCTTCCGCGCTGTCGTTGTCCGACTCGCTCCTGTCCACGCGGGTGGTAGGCACAGGACTAGGGTCATGACTGTCGTCTGCAGCGCTCAGGGCTGCGAGGCCTGACTTCAACTCCACGACCCTCAATTTCAATTCCCGGACAACGGCCGCGCACCTCTCGCGGATCCAGGACTCGTTTTGCAGGGCCGGAGAGAACGTGCAGTCGAGACAGTGCGTCGGGACAGTCAAGAATTGCCTGATTGGAGCATTCCTGTCCTTGTCTGCCGCTAGACCATTCGAGGCTCGACAGGGTATTGGCGCCTCTGGTGTTTGAGCGGCTTCGATGATTTCGGCCCTCAACACGGACGGCAGCCGTGCTGGCCGAGGAGTGGGAGGCGTGGTATGTGGACACTGAGGGAAATGAATCTGCGTGTTCGGAGGGATGGGGCTTGTCGGGGGAGACTTCCGCACATGGGCCTGGTTCGACCGGGCGCCGCCGCTACCCTTACCGTTGCTGTTGGCCGAAAGGGGCTGGAGATGGGATTTGCTCCTGCGGCGGGATGAGAGGGTGCGGGTGAGCTTCTTCATCGTGACGAGGGGCCTGGTTATTTGTTCCGCTCAGGCTACGCGCTGAGAAGGACAACTGTGACAAACTCGATCTCAAGTCGAGGTGCCGACGGCATGAAGAAACAGCGTTCCTGTCCATTCCTTGCAAGCTTGTGGAGCCTTGAACAAAAAGACAGTCTCACCGTCATGACAGGGCAGTATCGCCGCTCCGTGACACGGGCACTGATTGAACGGACTATTGGTCATCACACACAATGACAACTCTCGGCTCTCGCGTTGAACAACAACCGCAGGCACTCCCGGACGCGGAGCCCAAAAGTTTGAGGACAATGACGGCGACTCACTCGCTGGCTCCGCGCCCGTTTCTTCACACAACAAACGATCACAATGGTCTTCAAGCACCGAGTCACCTGCAAGGTCTCGACCGTGCGTCCCTTTTTTGCTCGCCGAGCCCCGTTTGCGTCGACCGCGGCTCGTTCCAACGTGGTCACACAGCGGGGGCGAGAGCTTCGAGAAAATGCTGAGGAACATCCCCATTGTTCTCGACAGGTGCACGGGCCACATTGTATCCTCCGTCCCAGGGCAGGATTCCTCCTCGAATGGGAGTGCACGGAAATTTCCAGAACTTGATGGAGACTGCACAGCCTTCCAACGTGGAGAACACCCAGAGCAACGTAACCATGACAGGAGACATGAAACTTGTCGCAAACAGCGACACCCCACAGTAGAGGGGCAAGTAGATAGCCTGCCTTGTAGGGCCGCGCATATACTTTGCACCGAGACCAGCGCCAAAGCCGGAAAATAGGTAAACCCAAATTTCTAGATGCTGTCTCATCCATCAGCATTACCAAACCACATGGTAGCACATACATTGCGGCAGTCATGGCTGCCTTCGATCTATGGCTGGCGTGCAAGTCATAGAGCTCCCTCGGTCAAACCCATCACCAAACTTTTAGAATCCAAGCTTGGAACCAATAAACCCCAACGCCGCCGCTCTCTTCTGCTTCGCCACGAACTTGTTTACATCATCGCTCCAAGAGCTACTGGACTCGGCTGCTCTGTCGAGACTATCCCCCGCCAGTCCCAGATTCTCCGTTCGTTCCTGAATCTGCCGCTGCATGTACGCCCAGTACGTCTCTTGAGATTGATCTGGCTTGGGCGCGCGTCCTGTCCGCGCGGCTTCCCGTTGTCGTTGAAACTCTGCCTCCTGCGCGGCCCGCAATTCCGCCAACATTCGCTTAGAAGGTGGTCGGTCGGGACCGCCAATGAGAATATCCATATCTGAAGGGGTGATGTACTGCGTTCCAGCAATCCATTGGAGGTTGCTGATTGTAGGCCGACTGGGCACCATTTTGGCGGCGTCATAGAGGCGATCAGTGCTGGGTGGGAGGGACATACCGCAGCCGAAGACATTAACCATGGCGAGTTCGCTAGGACCTGCCCAGCCCAGGATATCACCGGTGGGAGAGACGATCGCGTCGCCGAAGCGTTTGGTGTCGAGAAGATGGTTGACGCGGATACTTGCAATTTCCTTCAGAGCCGGGATCGAGAATGCTCGGGCGGCACCATCGCCAAATAAGCCGACGACAGCATAACCACGTTCTTCGTAGCGGGCTACTGTGGCGGAATCGCACAGGTAGTGGTCGAAAGTTTTGGAGGCACCTTTGGCAGACGCTGGACGGAAGATGTGCACAGATGAGACCGTGACGGCTACAAGGACGCCATCAACTTTTTGGCCGGACTGTAAGCCTCCCATAGCATGACCTGTTGCGGCTGCAGGGGCGCCTGTGTGGGCATCAATTGGACGCAAGGAGATGACTCGATCGTCTGATATTTGTGCCACCCCTGTGAACTGTGCGGAATAGCGCCCGGATTGAGAGGGGAGAATCTTGAATGTGGCGACTCGACCACGAGACGTGCCGACAAACAAGGCAAGGGAGGAATAGTCTATCTACGCGTTAATGCCGCCTAGATGCAACCGGGAAGACACCTACCGTCACCATCCAGGGTTAAGATACCGAATTCCATCGTTGTTGCGTATTCTGTCGATTGGGTGGCAGGTGCACTTCGCCGAATGCTTCCTCTCCGATGTTTGCCGCCGACCATTTCATTGAGCAGAGACGTGTGGATGATAGCTGGACCACGTAAATCGACGATGGTCACGCCGCCCCCGGCATAACCAGCGGCTACGAACCCAACATCTGAATGTCGTAGAGCGGTGATGGGGCCTTGCTGGTCATTCGTCATCGCCAAAGGTAGGAGACCTTCTTTCAAGCCCGGATCTGCTCGTTTGCTGATGTCTTGTATTTTGCCGGGTCCTTCATTCGGGACTGGTTCAGATGGAGGATGGCCGAAGAATTGATTGCGGTTGAGCCGAAAAACCACAAGTTCGCCAGATATCAATCCTACCGAAAGTTCTCCTGTCGCACCAGACATACTCATCTGGGCCACGTCTAGCTTATCCCACCGACCGACTGCTTTTCCGAGATCAACTTGGAGGACACTGGGGTTCTCGATGACGTCGCCATGTCCAGCATCCCATAATCGAATCGTCCCATCGGCGTGGGCCGCTTGAACAATGTTTCTGTTTTCATGTCTCTTGAGAGGCTTGATACCTTCAGCACCGCCGATCAAAAAATGCGGACCATGCTGGCGAACTTCGCGCATGCCGAGCCATCTAGTTCGGTCGACGAATGCGAGCGCGATTTTGGTTACGAACGGATGTACAAATGATAACGAGACGTGTAGTTGGTTGCTGGGTGTGATAGGATGTCCGGTGGGAAAGCTCAACGTGATTACTTCACCGGATGACAATACGGCCATGACTGCTATCGGATCGTGGGAGCCAGCGAAATGCGGAGACGAACGAGGAACCAGAAGAAATGTGCTAATCGCGGCATTGGGTGGTGTTGAAAGGACATGTATCCGTTTGGGGTTGCGAAAGTGACTTGCCAGGAAATCCCAGGTTGATGTTTGGTAGTTCGGCGTGGGACCCAGTTCGATGAACGTCAGACCTCTTGTGGGGTTGGTGGTTGGTGAGCCGCCCGCCAGAAGCAAGCCAGTGTCATCCGGATTCAATTTCGAACACCACGCAATGTGGAAATACGGCTCTTTCACCGTACCAAATCCCGGACTCACTGGGCTGAGAGGGCTCCTGGGGACGTCTCTCGGCGGTCCAGCCCCAGGCACGTTGACGTCTGTGTCTTCAATTGTCCTTGCGTGAATAACCCTGCCATCTCGTGGGTCCCAGAATACCAAGCTCGAGTCGTCATGGGCCGTCAACACGAAGGTGCCGGTTGGATGCCAAATAGCATGTGTCAATCGAGGATGCCGTACGGAGTTGCCGTTTGTGGGACCTCCGTCTCCTCCTCGAGCTCCTGGCGGAAGCTCGTAGTGGAAGAACTTGGTTGCCTTGTTTTGTTTGAAAGAATAGATGACGGCGCCTTCGGAATAGCCGATAAGCAATGTGCCTATGTCCTTGGGGTGGAACTGCATCGACACGATTGGGAGAATCCGTGCTCGGGGGTTTCGCTCACGCCACAGGTTGGGGATTTTGAAGGGTGTTTGATTCTCTCGGTCCAGGTCAAATGCCACAATTTCCCCTGCCAAAGCATGTCAGCAATACTTCCCTTTCAACCCATTCTCATTCTATTCACCCACCACTTTGCAAGCCGGAGAAACAGTAGTCTAGACTGGGGTCTGAGAGGATAGAAACGACCTGACCGGGAGGGGAATAGTTGGCCAGCGTACGCTTCGTGTCAAGGCTGAAGACACTGACATCATTCTTGCTGTCGAGCACAATGAGCTTGTCGGCGCAGAATTGGATGGCTCGAATAGACGACGGTCGGGGAGGAGTGAAGGTTATACAGACTCGCTTCTGGCCGAAGACATAGACAAGACCCGGGCCGAATTGAGATTCATTGGTGCCGACAGCGAGGAGGGACTGGACCGGGTCATAGGCGAGCACAGAGATCTGGGAATTAATACCATAGCGAGCAAACTTTGGATATTGTCAGTCTCCCGGAGAGACTTGTAACCAGAGGGCAGGCGTACGTACGTCGTCTAGCATGAAGGACTCTGGACTAACACCAACAGAGAGATCATTCTGAATGCCGGCCTGCTTGCCGCGAAGGAAGTGCGCCATAATGACTGCGGACGCAGGATCCCCCGCATGACAAGAGGGAGGTTCTGCGCTCTGGCCGACGAGTCCGAGAGACACCGTCGAGGGTTGATTTCAGTATGACGCAGCAAGTCAAGACTGCGGCTGCGCAGGATTGAGGATCGGCGGGAGCCCAAGTGGGCTGAAACAGTTGAGGAACGCGTCGGAGGCACGGGAGGAGTGACCTCATAGCCCCGAGCCCCGTGACTTCTCAGCCTCGTCTCTCAGCCTTACAGTACCTCGGGGATGGGCCGAGTCAAGTTTTGAACTGACTACTGTTCTCTTGCTATTGGGCTCGTATAAAAGAAGGTCTTACGTCCAGCTCGGACCGAGTGAGGGCAAAGTACAATCGCCCCCCCCCGCCAATGAAGAATCAGCAGCAAATGCACGATATTCGAAACCCGCCATGTGCGTAAATGCGAAGTCGTGACGAGATTGCCCATCACCTATTTCCATGTCTATTTTCTCTTTTGCGATTGCCCTCATTCACCGGCGCCTCGATTTCTTAGCCCCTCAAGCCGACCACTTGCTGCCGTAAGTGGCGGCAACACTGTAGGTGCTGTTGGAGAAAGTTTGTCAGTTTTCATCAAGAATGGTAAGGTTTCGAAGCCGGTGCTACATGACCCCCGCGATAACCCCTAGCGACGTGGGTAATATCTCGCAGAGGGGAGGGATTCGCATACAGCCAGTGCTCGGGAGGTCGTGCTCCAGTTGGGAAAAGTTCAAGCTGCATTTGACATTAAACGTTAGCGACGATTCCACCAGACAGCGACCTGGGGAGGGGTTCAACATGGGGAAAGACCCCGCCACCCTTCCATGAACGGGACAACAAGGCGAGCAGATTGATGTTCACCTACTTTCCACCGCCACTGAAGACGTCCTGGTCGAGGTCACCATAGATCTGGTCAGGGCTTGGGACGGCCAGATTCAAGGAGCAGTTGGCACCGAGGGCAAAGTCCGGCATGGTAAATTGAGAGGCCGTGGCCAAATCGTTGGCGGTCTCGACGTAGAGATCTTGCGACCTCAGAAAGGCTTTGTCAGGGCTGACCTGTGAGACTGTCTGGATGTTGTCGGCGAAGAGAACGAATTGGCCGGCCGAAGGGATGAATGGGCAGTTCCTCGAGGCGTACGGCGGGTAGCTACCGCCATAATGCCCGCTTCCCTTTGCGGTTGCGATGCCAGGGAAAGCGGCGGCGGCAATGATTGCGGTCTTCATGTTGCTCGTTGGAAAGGAATTGAATACAAGGAAATACGAAAAGAAACCCCCGGGGCAAAAAATGAGACCTAATGAAAGTCGTAAAGGAAATCTGCTACCCAAGTGAGTGGATGGAGAGACGCTGGATGGCATTGTTCGAGGATTGCGGACCAAGCTGAGTCTTTGTAGACATTGCTCTCCGAGCTTGCACCCCCGTCAATATTCTCTCGAGTGCGGTGCAGAGGTACTTCGTACATTACCTTGGTGATGCAGTAAGTCCCCATACCCTGTAGCCTGTACCTGGGGAAGGTGGCTCAGCCGCCCTGCCATTGAGGGACCGCGAACCTGGTCGGCGTCCTATGCGCGAGTGACTGGGTCCTGGGACAGACCAACCTCTCTCACCGATGCTGGAGAGCCGGATATATTCCGAGTACCTCAGCTTACCGCAATCTCTAATTGGTTAATCAGTCAGTTGGGGCCTCGGACAACATTAAAGCCATCTCATTTAGGAGCGATATCGACCGGGAGATGCCTTTTCGGGGGGCTTGGTTCCTACGAGCGAGGTGACTGATGTCGGCGCGAACAAGGACGACAGGTCCGACATCCGTCGAACAGCCCCAGAGAACATCTCTGGTCGCGTCAACGAACCACTGCTGTTCCTCGTAGCTACCGAGAAGTAGAGGGATCGAGACATGGGCAACGTCGACGACAATCTCCCGCTATTTGACGCATGGGTCACCACGATGCAGCAGCGATTGAGACTGTGTACACAAGGAAAGCTTCGTCCCCGGCTAGCCGCAGTTGGATCTGGTGTGAAGAGGATCCGAGGATCCTATATTGGACGATCGAATACGGGTAAGGGAGGTGCAGAAGCGATATTGGTGGATATTAATACCCGTTGGGCCTCAAGGCTCCCCGCAAGAACCCGAGCGTCCTAGCTGACGGATCAGGATAGGTAGTCATTGGGGTATTATCCTGTGTTGCTGGGCGTCGGATCCCAAAGATGAAAAGATGGACAGAGATCGTTGTTGGCAGAGCCACGCCTTCTCTCGCTGCTTTCAACAGCCTGGCGGAAGGATGGGGCATGTCTTTGGCCCCGGCAACGGCGAGGCCGACCTGGTGTTAGGAGTACTTCGCCGACCATTCATTTCCTGAAATCAAGGCAGACGGCAGGCATATGCTGCCGCAGCTTGAATCCCGTCGACCTCTTCCGGGCTCCGTGGCTCCGACCATGGATGTCAGCGGGAGAAAAGACGATGTGGGGAAGTCGAAATGCGTTCTATTTAGCCCCAGTGCGTACTATTAACTGGTGCTTGCTGTGTTGTGCCTATTCTCCTTGGCAAATAGTTGGCTTGGAGCCCAGCTTGCCCAGCTCACATCTTGAGGACTCCTCTTGCCATAAGGATCTGCACCGCGGGCATCGAATCACTCATGATTTCCGTCCTCTTCAATACAATACCATCATGAGGCGCCCCTTGTTGCTTCACATAGGTGAAGTGAAACCCTCCGGGGATCTTGACATCCCATTCCCTCCCCTGCAAGTCCTTGACCTTCTTCTCCTGCGCGGTTGGTTGCCCCTGACAGTTGGCGAAAAGGTAGGCCTGGCCGATCATCTCCCAGCCACCGTCCGTGTCGAAGCAGACAAGAAAATAAGGCTCGTGGAATTCTTCGGTGAAAGGAGCGTACATGCCCGTGGCTTCTCGGAATGCCGATGCATTGCCGCTGTGGATTGAGCCGTCGGGTTTGACGAGCGTGAAATCAGCAGAGAACTGCAACCTCTGGGTCAGCGGTCGAGGAGCTGGAGTCTTACAACAAACTCTTGCAAAATATTGTTGTCGAGCTTTTCCCACGAGGAACTCACCCAGTCACATTCTTCTTGACCCCAGTCTCCGCGCTTGTTGAAGTTGATTGTATATTCTTCCATCCACTTCATTGCAGGATGCTTGCGAGTCTCATCGTCCCAACTTCCAACGTGAACAAAAGCAGGCTTGGTTGGGTAAGACATGGTGGCTGAGAGGATGATGAAGATGTCTGTCCTTCTACAGTCCAAGGCAGAAACAATACCCTGCGTGATAACGTGATACGAGAATTGGAAGGCTCTGGGGACTTTCTGTTCGAGAGAAGGGTACGACTGATTTTGAGAGCGACGTAAGGCAAGACTTTATAGTCGTGGAAGAGAGAGTCTAGTCCGTGAACACTCAGGTCTAAAACGTCAACATCCATTGACCACAGACGCGAATGCAAAGCCATTCAGCTCAAGTCGCCTGGACAGAGCTCGAGATTCAGCCGCTCAGCCAACATCCATAGCATCAGGGCATGTGGACAGCTGGGAGGCGTCGTCTCCAAGCTCATTCGACTCCCAGGTGGCAGGAACAGGTATAGAATGAACGTGGTTGGCACAGTTCGCCCGGTGCCGACACAGAGGAAAGCGTTCGTAAGCGAGGCTCTTTGAGAGGACAACTAGAGCCCGCTATGCCCCGCCCTTGGGGCGCCAAAGGACGCCATACTAACCGTCTATCGCAGGCGTTCTGAACGGAGGGCCACAGACACAAAGAGCTAAGGACCAGAAGGTGCGGGGGCGTCGAAGGTCCGTTCAGCTCGCAAGCGTTGGGAGCTACATCCTTCCCTTGTTTTGCCCTGTGTAGTCCGGCTCGTGATGGCGATGGGATGGGGGATGGGAAAAGGGATGGGAAGGGCGACGGAGATAGAGATGGAAGCTGATTCGAGGATGGTGAGGAGCAGAGATACTTGTGTTGATGTGCCGCCCAGTAGACAGCAAACACGAAGGGAGAGAAGGTGAATCTCATCGCTTACTGTACCGCTCCCTGCCTCGCTGGGAACCAGGGCAGCGGGGGACGAACCTGTCTATATACACAGCACCTCGGACCTCCAGCATGTACTCCGTTCCCTGTACACCATCCATCTTCCCTCGACTCTTCCAACAAAACACATGGGCTTCATCTCTACCTTCCTGGATCGCTCCAACAAGCGAATTTGCCCAGTTGTCTCTCGCTTACGTCCTGTCCTCAGTGGCTGCCCGACCCCATATTCGCTTCCTTCTCGCTTGGTGACTCTCTCCATGTAACATTTTAGCGAGTTGAAGCGAAGCGTACAGGGGCCTCCCTGGAACTCCTACGCTACACCGTCAAGGCTTACGGACAGAGCCTTGTTTCCTCAAAGGCCTAGATCAAACCAAACCGTCTGAGAAAACATTGGTTGGATGGTGGTCGTCATTATTAGTTGCGTTCTATGTGAATTTTCATGCGGTTGTGCCAGGCAGGCAGGATCCCCTAGAAAAGAACTGTCCACGCCGCTCATCATTCCGCGGCTATTACAAAATTCTAATTGCTGCCCCTCCGAACTCTGGACGAATGTGAAGTAAATAGTGGTGTACAACTGTCGGGGACCCTGGGCCTGCAGTCGACCAAGGGCGAAAACAAACGAGCAGGTCCGAATTCACCGTTTCCGCGTGAGGATCTTCGTAATCGCGTGCCGAATCGTGATGCCCGCCTTCTCGATTTCTTTCTTGGTCAAGCCAACCGTCAAACAGACTTTGAGGGCGGGGGAAGGCGCGTAAATGTCACTTTTGGCACCCGAGGGGCTGGCGGGGAGTGTCTTGACACGGGTGATAAGGACGTTTTGTGACAGGCACTAGATTGAAATCGTCAATTGAAGCCTGGATCGACGGGGACACCAAGACATTCATGGGTGGCTTACCTCCTCTACAATATCCTGCAGCAACTGCTGTTGGTCCTCGATCGTCAACCTCCGCGACGATACCACCTCCGGCTTCAGCACTAGCATCATGATTGGGTTCTCCGGCGCGCTGCTACAGTGCATCCAGTCGCTTCTCGGGTCGAGTTGCTGCCACATCGCCTTGATGTTCTCCTTCAATTGAGCAAACAGGTCTGGCTGAGTCTGCAACATCATCAATGTCTCGCTTGCCGTCACGGCAGACATGGCGGGTAGTGCTGCCGAGAAGGTATACGAGGCCGCCGATAATCGCTGGTGCTCCACAACTTCGTCTGAACCTGCACAGAAGCCTCCTGCGGCCGACAGAGGTCCTGCCATGGAGCCGACAATCATGTCCACCTCCGCTGCGTCAACGTGTTGGTGTTCTGTCACGCCTCGACCGGTTCGGCCTAAGACGCCAAACGACCACGTCTCATCGAGAATCAGTCGGAACTTGTATTTGAGCTTCAACTCAATCTGTACAATCACAATTAGAGCCTTCGTCGGCCCCACCAGGGGTTCCAAATCTGCAACTCACAATCTTTGGCAAATCAACCATATCGCCGACGTTTTCGAACAAGCCCTCGGTAATGATAAACCGTCTCGTCAACGGCTTCTTGGCTTGTTCTTTGGTGACCTTTGCGAGCACCCTCTGCAAGTCCTCCATGTCATTGTGTTCATACCATCTGACTGCACTCCTAGAAATCTGTATTCCCTTTCGGATGGCATAATTCACAGCTTTATCGGCCACAATGATATCCCCCCTCTTTGAGAAAGCGGGAATGACACTGGATATGGTGGAGAATGCTTGAGCATAGATGATGCACGCCGTGGTACCAAGGAAGGCCGCAATGTCCGCCTCGATCTTCATGTGCACGTCTTGGGTGCCGTAGAACCCGGGCGGGCCGCAGGGACCGACTCCATAAGTCCGCAATGTCTGAATCGCCCGCTCTTTGAGATTTTCGTTCGAGACAAAGTTGTAGAAGTTGTACGAGGCCAGATTTGTCACCGTTCGGCCGTTGGTCAATCTGGACCGCGGTCCGCTCGGTCTGTCGCTCCCGAGTCAGTAGGTCTTGTACAGTGCATTTCAAGGTAGACTGACCCGACAATGATGGGACGCCTCTCCAATTCAGCATCTTCAAAGGATGTGGTCTTCCCAACCAAGGGCTCTGGCGTCCATTCATCCACTAGGTCATCGATCTCCTGGGTTCGCGGTCAGCGCTTCAAGGTTCGCCCTCCAGTTTCCCCTGACAATATACCCACCTCGTCCGACAATTTCACATAATTCTGCTTCGTTGAATATTTCGGAGCTAGAAGATACCGGATTGCGAACAGCACAAGGAAAAGTTCGACGGCAGACCGGATCGGGTCGTTCTGGTAACTGGACTTCACATAGCGTAGAAAGATGGCTGACCCGGGGATTTTTTGAAACTGGTCGGCCGCGGTGTTGGCGAGATTCGTGAGATATTCTTGAGCGTCATGAGGGTCCATCTTTGCACCGACACTGGGTGTCAACAGCCTCCCCTGAGACGGAGTAGAAACAGGAACGCGGCGGCCACGGCGCTACTTAAGATCGAGAGTTTGCAGAGGGTTGACGATGTCACAGCCAGCGTAGCCCGCGTTGCCTGCGAAAGGGCCAAAAGGGCTCAATGCGGCACGTCACGTGATAATGGCGGGAAATCAGGGGCAGATCAAATTTCCGGCGGTCGCCGCTCACCAACTCGCCAACAACTCACGAACCGCCTTCTCCATCCGGCCCCCGGCTGGTCGGAAAAGGTCTCGCATCGGACTGAATCGAATAGTATGCCATTTTCAAGTTTACTGTCATGTACAGTTGCAATGTATCTAAGCAAACAAAAGTTCAACCCGGCCGCCTGCAACGCCCCTGTCCACCACCCAATATTGTCAGGTTCACAAAAAACCAGCTGAAGAAAGCACCTATGCAAAGGCCGCTTGTCTATGCCATTTCAATCATTAATTTGTTCGGATCAATGGCCGACAAGAGAATTTCAAACTCATTAGAGGGTCACATTGTCTAGCATGCGCTTGTTTCCCCCCTTTCCGTATGGACCAGTGTATACACACACAACAATCTCCTCGAGGCTGTGGTGAGAGACAGCTTTACCATCGGACGAATCGTCCACCTCCGCCAAAGCTGAAGGGGTTGTTGGAGCTGCTGCTTGAGGCAGCAGCGGTAGCAGCAGCAGTTCCAGCGTCTTGACCAAAGTTGACCAGAGCAGAACCGGTGATGCCTGTGGTGGTATCGTTGTTGTTCTGACCAGTGGGTTGAACGAGGTCAAGAGGAATGGTCGGTAGGCCAGTGATGTATTTTCGGACAATGATAGGCCCAATGATGAGCACGAGGAAAACGACGAGCATAAAGAAATACAAAATAGCGTAACGAATGACACGCCGCTTTCGGAGACGAGACTGTTTGATTGAATAGATGGGAGGTCGAATTTGACGGCTACAGAAGTATTAGTATTGCAATCAGAGTACTGGAAGAAGGGGTGGGGGTAACAATACCTAGGGCGCAACCAGAATAACATGACCGAGTGGAATTTGTCAATGTAAGGAACGCAGAGAGCCGGCAACATGATGAACATGATAATGTGCCCCAGGATAAAGTCCGCTGCGAAGAAGCCTAGCTCAGTGATCTTACAAAGGTATTCTCGTGCGGGCTGGGACATCGAGTGCCAACCCATCGAGTACCATTTGCCGGTCCACCAAGCAATGTTGGAAGTATCGTGTTTGAACTCTCTCGTCAGGAAGAGGGCGATGATCAGCTTGAAGACCAAGCGTTGGAGAGCCACCACAGCAATCATGCCCAAGAGTGCCTTGGCAAAGATCCAGCCCTCGAGGAAGAACATGACTTCCCAAAACGCAAAGAGCATAATGACAGCGACGCCGTGTGCGATGGCGGCAAGGACCGAACCGAATTTCTTGCAGCACATGCTCAAAACAGGACCCATGCAGCAAGCCATGCCGAACAAGCCAGCCAACACGCCAGCATTAACAGCAATGGGGGCAAAAGCAACAATGGCCACTCTCACCAGAGAGTTTGTGGGCGGCTTGACATCAGTCGTTACGCCAGTCTGGGCGTTGATGAAGAGGTAAGGGATCAGTGTGAAGCAAACGAGCACCAGAGGTCCGACAACCTCGCTGAAGAAGACACTCGTGAAATTAGCACGAGGAACGTCGCCAGAGAGTTTCTCAGAGGGTACTCCGAGAGCCTTGCGCTTGTATCCCGTAAGACGAGTACGCGACAGTCGGCAGAAGGCGATCCAAGATGAAGCATGCGACCGCGAGTTACCCCGAGACAACCACCTGAGATAGTCTCTGTAGTCGATGAAGAAATCGTTCCAGGCGAACTGATGGGGGTTGAAAATGAAAGGCGAGATGCAGAGGCCGAGCAGGGAGACCCAGAACCACAGGAGCCAGGCACCCCAGACCGTGATCGTGCCAAAGAGCAACATCATCAACGACCGAGCTCCGAGGTAAATGGACGGACCAGCAAAGCGAGAGTAGAGAACTCCGAAGGGGATACGCGCTGTCGCAAAGCCACGACCGGTACCGATATATCGAGCGCCACCAAAGGAAAGATCCTGCTGAATCGAGCTCGCATAGATCTGGCACACAAAGACCTCGAATATAGGAGAGGCGGATGCAAAGTGCTTAGCCAAACGAGTTGCAGCGCGCCAAAACCCACGCTCAGTCAACTCCTGGACCACCAAGGGCACGAAGGAGATGAAGAAGACGATAAAGATCGAGACAACGCAACGCTCAACCCATTCCATAATAGGCGTCAAGTTGGTGCACCCGGTAGGCTTGAGAGGATCCGTTGGTGGAACATTTCGGTTGTAGAAACAGATGATGGTCTCGTGTCTCAGGGCACCCAGGTTGATCAACACTATCATGAAGAGCTGCACCGACAACATGATGAACATGTTGTTGATGTGGAAACCAGGATGGGCATAGTAGAAAGACAGGAAGCGGTCCAACGGCAACTGAGTACCGAGATAGTAGTACTCTCGGGACAGCATTTGTTCACCCATACCAGTGCCGATCTTGGTCGTGAAGTTGAGAATGGAGCCAAAACCAAGATCACGACCCTTTCCACACTGGTAGTATTCGCAATGTTTGATGCGGCCGCCACGGATCAGGGCATTCATTCCAGCGTAGATATCTTCGTTAAGGTGGAGCCCTTTCTGAGCCTTGGAGACACCACCTCGAGTTGTCATGAAGACTCCGTTGAGGAAATCAGGGTGACCATAATGGAGCTTGCCACCGATTTGAGCCAGGGTACGAGCGAAGAGAGTGCCGAATGTTTGTTCCTTGCCAGCGGCCACGTCGCCAAGCACACCGATGTTCTCAGAGAAAATGTACTCGCGAGCACCGAGGATGGCAACTGGGTTGGTCTTTGTCGGAGGAAGTCCAGGAGTGTATGGCGAGACATTATCCGTCGTCATCTCCTCGAACTCGGCTAAGACGCTTCGGATTTTCAGGCATTCTTCCAAGTAGTTGTCTTGATTGGCGTCAATAAGCTGGATGTATTCACCACGATAGAAGATGATCGCATGGTTCTGGTTGTCGGACTTGCCGTCCCCGAGAATAGGATTACCGGAAAGTTGGATTCTGAACTTCGGTCGCCGCATTCCATTCTCAAGTAGTTCAGAATGGCCGTCGATCAGAGCAGAGTACAAACGAGGTTCCTCTCCCTCGTTCTGCGGTGGCTCCTCATCCAGATAGGCGATTTGAAGGTCTGGATATGCACGAAGCAAGAATTCGGTGTTTTCACGTTCCTCTTTCTTGAACTTGGCATAACGCTGCATGGAAACCACAATCTTAAATTTGCGTCTGGCCATGCGCTCGAGTTCACGCTCCAGCTTGTCAGAGTTGCCGCCGAACATTTGTACGACTTCAGGGTTTTCAACGCGATACAAGAGCTTGATGGCTCGGCTGTAGTTCATGAATCCAGAAATTGTGCGGTACAGTGTTTGAGACCGGAGCGAGGCCCAGATTCGAGTTCGCAAAGTATATTCTGGAGCCGCCGACTTGAACCCAATGCAGTAGAAAGGAAGATCATCGATCTTGCTCTTCGCTGTGTCTTTCTCAGACTTTTCATAGTCGCCGTTGAACTGAGATGTCTCATCCGCAAGAATCTTGGTGTCTTTGACGAAGCAGTCCCATTCGTGTGGGTGAAGCTGTTTAAGGTACTCCAGAAGGGTGACACGGGAGTAAGGTTCATCCTCACGGATGATTTCTCGCAAAGACAACAGAATCTTCTCTCCGTAGTGAGGGATAAGGACTGTGAAAGTCGGCATGTTGTCGACCGGGAGAGGTTCGGGGATAGGCGTAGACAGAGACTGGGCAAAGAAGGAGATACGACGCTCGGCTTCGCTCTGTGACGGGAAAAATTCGGTCTTGAACGAGTGATCTTCCTGGGAAACAAAGAATGTCGGCGCACGAAGCGTACGCTTGCCCTCCTGCTCTGAAGGCACTTGATGGTAGAGGAGCTTCTGGACGTGGTCGATGGCCAGAAGGTGTTCTCTGTACATGGAAATGACGATTGCGTTCCAGACTTGCGAGATAAGAACCTTCGGCTTATACTTGATTTCCATATCCGTCGTGGCCAAAACTTTGGAGTAAATTCGCTTCGGCAAACGAGAGAAAATGTTTCGCCAGGGCGTCCAGATCGAGACACCTAGGTAGAACGATCGAGCAACCGAGAAGACGCAGTTCCAGATGATGTACCACAAATAGGTATCCAAGAAGAACAGAATCAGGTCAGTAAAGAACATGATACCGAGCAAGATCTGAGGCTGGTACTTGCAGAGGTAATCTTTCAGAATCTTATCTCCCTGACAATTGCGGATTTTGGTGTAGGATAGAATCTTAATCGGGTCTCTGAACGACAGAGTCAGGAAGAAGTACGATTCAGCCAATTTGGCGGCGAAGACCATGATCCACAGACCGAACGACATCCACATGTCGTTACCCTTGAGACGAGGGTACGAAGCAGTGAAAGTCTGACTGGCGACATAGCGACGACTGTTTCCGGTCAGGTAGCTTCCAAACAACCCACCCAAAGGCATGATGGAGAAGAAGAAGAACGTGGCCAAGGCAACGAGGAATTGAACCACACCCAAAATCAGAGAAATCTGCGACGTTTGAGTGAAGCCAAATATGTAGACGCTGGGCGCAACGTTGAGGATGAAGACGCCGATCAAGAAGAGAAGTCGCTTGGTCAAGTGCTGAGCACCAGCCCATTTCCGCGGAACGTACGACCACTCAATGAGGGTAGCCAGGATGTTGATCAGAGTCGCGATTGTGCCACCCAAAGCCACGGCAGACCATTGAGCAGCAGCGTGAGGCTTGTTGTTCAGTTGTTGCTGGTAATTCTTAGTGTACAGCGTTGGGGAGTTGAAAGCCGTGTAGAACCAAAACGTAGTAAGATGGATGACCCAAATTCGATTGAAGTTGACAATTAG